CTTCAAGGAAAAGTATGTCTCGTTTATATGGATGACATAATAATATTTTCCAGCAGTCTCCAGGAACACATATCTAATCTGAGAAAAGTGTTTCACAAGCTTAAAGAAGCAGGGTTAAAAATTCAATTGGACAAATGCGAATTTTTATGCAAGTCCGTAGAATTTTTGGGACACGTTGTGACTCCCGAAGGCATAAAGCCTAACCCGAAGAAATCGAAGCAATTAGGAAATTTCCCATTCCTAGAACTGCCAAAGAGATCAAATCTTTCTTAGGTCTCATTGGTTATTATAGAAAATTTATCAACAATTTCGCTCATTTGACAAAGCCCCTTACTCAATGCCTCAAGAAAAATGTAAAAATTCAACATACACCCGAATTCATCAAGTGTTTTGAAACTTGTAAAAATATTTTGATGAATGACCCCATATTACAGTACCCAGACTTCACAAAACCGTTCAATATTACAACAGACGCTTCAAATTTTGCTATTGGTGCTGTTCTTTCACAAGGTACGATTGGTAAAGATCTCCCAATTGCATACGCAAGCAGGACCTTGAATCCAGCTGAATGCAATTACTCTACTACCCAAAAGGAATTATTAGCCATAGTTTGGGCAGTACAGTATTTCCGTCCCTATGTTTTTGGCACTAAATTCAATATAATTAGCGACCATAAACCTCTACAATGGTTGTTCTCAATCAAAGAACCCAGTTCCATGCTTGTTAGATGGCGCTTAAAATTGGAACAATACGACTATAAAATTATTTACAAGAAAGGCAGTTTTAATACTACGTATAATGCCGATGCCCTATCACGAGTAGAAATTCACCCCCTTGACCTAGTGACAGACAATCTTTCAACTTTAGGAAACTTTGACAGCTCAGAACCTTTTAACATTGACGACATTCTTAACGACGTTTTCCCAAGTCACTCAGAGACCCTACCGACATTACCAAATGACTTTGGAGACATTTTAGAGACTTTCGATAATCACCAATCTCCGGATGACGATAGTAATACCAATCTTCATCATCAATCATCATCCAATCCTAAACCAAAAATTAAAGTTCTCCAAAACATTCTTATCCGTCCCTCAGAAAAAGTCCGCTCAGACAGTGAGACAGTTCATAGTTCTTTTGAAAATCCGATAATAGAAATCCCATATACAGACAAAGTATTAAACATCCACCAAAACCAAGTTATTTTAGGCATATCACCCTGTAAATTATTTCAATGCCACTTTGAGAAAATTTTCAAAAAGAAAAGGCATACATTTTTAGTTAGGAAAGATTTATTAGATGTAAGCAAAATAAATGAACTAGAAGAAATTTTCGCTAAGCTAATTAAAGAGTATATCAGACCTAATCAACACTACTGCGTATATTTTAAGAATTTAGATTTAGAAAAACCATTCATTAATTTTTTACAAAAGTATTTTCAAAATAAAGCATTTACAATGGTTATAAGTAGGAAAATGCTAGAAGACGTAGTCGATATTGATGAACAAAATAATAAAATTAAATTATATCATGAAACCAAAACTAGCCATAGAGGTATAAACGAAAATATTTTAGCGATTAAGAAGAATTTTTATTGGCCTAATTTAGATGTAGACGTTAGAAATTACGTAAATTCCTGCGATATATGTCAGAAATCGAAATACGAAAGGCATCCCAATAGGTTAATCTTTAAACCAACTCCCATAGGATCTAAACCATTTGAACATTTATATATAGATTCTTTTAAAATTTCAAATCAATATTTTGTAACAGTTACAGATAGTTTTTCAAAGTTTTCACAGGCATTCCCAGTTAGTTCATTAAATGCAATCGAGACAACTAGTACTATGATCCAATTCTTTTCATTTTTTGGCATTCCTCATAAAATCACATGCGATAATGGTACCGAATGGAAAAATAATATTTTCCAAGATCTTTGTAGTATGTACGACATCTCTCTTCATTATACAACAGCATATAATCCCAATAGTAATAGTCCAGTGGAGAGATTTCATTCCACTATTATAGAAACAATAAGAACCTTAAGAGAGGAAAAACCTCACCAAAATATTAGAGATCTCATGCATTATGCAATTTTATCATACAACAATAGCATTCATTCTTCAACTGACTTTACCCCTTTTCAAATTGCTAAAGGACAGCTAGATTTTAGAAATCCCTTCGAGACAACGACAAACGAACAGATTTCCACATATATGACAGAACATTCCCAAATCCTTAAACTTTTGTCTCAACAACTAACAGAAAAGTTAGAACGTAAACAAAGACAAAATTTAGAAAGAGAAAATAGACTTCGAAATCGTTCTCTTTCGCTTGATGTAAAGCAACCACTTTTTTCATTAAATAATTCCAAAACAAAGAAAGACCAACCACTTTACAAAAAACTGACCGACCCTACAGTTACTGGTGACAATAAAGTTATTTCAAAAAATAAAGTTACGCATCAAAGACAGCTCAAACCACAACGAAAAATCATTGTTACAGGTAGACATGACAGGAACAAGGCTGCTACACCTACTCCTGATGATAGCTCTGACGATGACATTCCCCTTTCCCAATTATTCAGTCAAAATCACAAGATTAACAAACCCGATCCTTCCACTTCAGCTAGGTAAAGCATATATCTTAGAAAATCAGCACACATTCTTATATCATATTAATATTAGTACCCCGTATATATTTTAGATAGCATAGGGCAACATATTTTAAGAACGCAAGTATTTTTGAAACAAAATTCCAATCACTTTTCAATTCAGCTTTTACAAAAATTGGAACATGCTATTTCATTGAAAAATAAAATCGACAATAAATTTGGCATTTTACATAACAAACGCATTAAAAGAGGTTTATTCAATGGTGTTGGTACACTTTCGAAATATTTGTTCGGAACGATGGACTCCGCAGATAAAGAAATCATTAACAATTATTTGGATACTATTAAATCTAATGAGTTGAACTTACAATCTCGCATAAACAAACAACAAACAATATTAAGGGATATTACCACTCATTATGAGATTACTTTTCAGACCATTAGGGATAACGAGAAAATTATTGTTAGTCATCTAAATGACTTGATCAACAACAATAAAATTTTAAGGGAACAAGATAATGTATTATCACTCAGCCTCACTATAGATAAAATTATTTTGGAATTACAAGCTTTATATGAAATAATTAGCAATTTACAAACAGCCTTATCGTTTGCAAGAATACATATTTTACATTCTGCAATTCTAGACACAAATAGTATTTCCTCAATTTTAAATTATTTATCCAAAGATTATAGTAGCGAAAGAATTCCGAAATTTGATCACGTAATTGACTATTATTCGTTATTTACAACCGATGTAACTATTTTCGATAATATCATTTTATTTAAAATTTATGCACCATTAATCTCGAACTCCTTTCATTATTTTAGTGTTTTTCCTGTTTTTCAATTTAACTATACCCTAATCCCAAAATCCCAATACCTTCTTTTCGACTTGAAAAACCACTGGAACACAGACCACCTTTGCACAGAAGTCGCAAATAAATACTTCTGTAAACACGAAGACTTATTAGAAGCAGATCCATGCCTAGTAGAAATTATCAAAAATGGAAGAAACACTTGTCCCATAACAAGAATACAGCAATCAAGAACTCTGGTACAGCAGATATCTTCATCTAAAGTAATCATATGTCCAAGAGAGCCCACTACAGTGCATTCGTCATGTCCAGAAGACGGCCTGATAGTTATTTCTCAACCAAGTCTCATAGAACTCCAGCGATGCAGCTTAGAAATCAATCAACACAAGTTCTATCCCTCAGATCGCATCGACCATGAAACAATTTTCCCTTTACCAGCTATAAGCCTGACCAATTTCACGAAGCAGAACCTTGTTGATGTAACAAAATTCAACTTGAAGACAATCCAGAATCTTCAAATATCCCAAGAACAAATCAACGAAGACAGTATCCAGTTCCCAGATCGTCCCATAGAGAAGACAAATCTAATCATATTTTTACTTCTTCTATCAACTTTCATTGGTTACATCATTACCAAATTTTAAAGAAGCTAAGAGAAGCAAGAAGACGTAGAGAAGAAGAAGCAGTTCCGGATTCGCAAACTTTGGATCCCCCGTTTGCTCATCTTCGGCAGGGAGGAGTTATATAGCGAGAGCCCCTCGTATATCTTCCTAATAGCTATAATTATATCTTATCTTAGTAAACAACCCTATGTTATATATTGATGGTTGTGCCCTTCAGGCATCAGTTTAATCCTATTACTCTTGCATTGAACTCACTTAGGTTAGGTTTGCTAACATATCGTTGTTAGTCTAAACATTATATTTATAGTAGAATAAAGTATCAAATCGCTTGTAAGTCGTTTTTAAAAACGCGATTCCGCGACGCGATACCATCATTATATGGCCTCCAACTGTATTTTTAATTTTCTCTTCAATGTTCTGTCGGTTCGTTGAACTTTTCTATTCTCAATTATATATTCCTGTGTACAGTTATTTGTTCATGTTTTCAAATATGTTGATTTTATCCAGTCGGGGAATAATTATAAACGATATTTTCTTCATTGTTAAATCGTTATCTACCGACTCAGTTTATGACCTTTGTACTTTACTTATATTTCAACATTCAACAGGCATTATATCCTTTTACAGTCATGTTTCCCATTTTGTATTCTCTCTAGATTCCTTTGTCTTTTTTAATAGCACACTTTCTAGATTCATATTCTCGTTGATACTCAACATTTCTTTTGTTTTTCCATTCAGGTTTGTGTTGAAAAATAGTTTAGCCGTGGATGTTACGTAACCAATTATAAATTCCCTGATCTCTGATTCACTACCTTCCAGACAAAACAAACATTCGCTTCGCAGGTCTTTGTTTATTTTTTCGTATTTATCGTTATCCTTGTGCACGACTTGAATCAATTGATCAGCCTTTCGTTTTCTTCCTGTATTTAAAAAATGTTGTTCAGTACCATGACCTAGTTTCTTAAAACCGTTGGTATGGGAATGAATAATTATTAGAACCTAAACTACAATTCAGAAATCGATAAACGTACGAATAATCAACACTTCTAAAACGTTTTTGCAATACGAATTTACGAATATTTGCGATAAAAATGTATTCCGACCAAAAATATCTGATACGGCAGCCATCTTGTAATTTATTTACGCAGCAATGAGTTTTGCAGTAAAAATGGTGTTAACAAGTCAAACAGTTCCGAGTTTATCCTGTTATTTCGGTTTTCACGTCATAAATATGTCGCCACATCATTAGATGCCATCAACTAGATTGACTCACTTGTTACGCGGCGATGTTGATCTAATTTTTTTAATACTATCTACAAGTAGGTAGGTCGAGGAGTATAGTGAAGTTTATGGCGTATTCCCTACCTAGGCGCTGGTATGTTGGAGAGAATCTTATTTGAATGGAATCACACAGCAACCACAGTGGAGCAAATTATTCAACGTTCAAGGTCACGGGTCGCACTGTCATTAAAAAAAAAAAATAGCGTCAAGTAGGTCCACTCTATACTTTCCACGATTTCAAAACAACTTCTATCGCGCCTACCTCGTATGTCGTCGCGTTGCTTGCCTGCTGCCCGTGGCGCAAGGCAAATGCGACCGATAGGCGGCTGAAGAGTTTCAAGGGGAAATCTGTGGCGTGTGAATTATGTCTAATAGGTGCGTAGAATTATCGCGCTAGTTTATTAATATACCAAAATCTAAAAAATGCAATACTACTAAAAAAATTTTTCAAAAATGTTCATGATCCTATGAAACGAGGAAAAACGAAGTTTGAGAGATTTTTGTTTTTGTTTTGTGCCTGTAAAGCTTTTTCGTATAGTATGAACCTTGTTTGGAAATTACATCAAAATCCGAGCGGTAATTTCCAAGTTATAGTTGGTCCAAGGTTATACATGTCACAATTTTCGGGATTTTTCGCGATTACGATATCCCCGCCAGTTTGGCGTGTGAAGTAAAATTGCGCGAACTCTTTAGTGTGTACACAATTGCACTATAACGATTCCCGAATCAAAATTTGTTTTTAGTTCCTTCAAAAATAATCTGTGTACAATGTCAAAAAACGTTTTTCTGGTCTAATGAATATAATGCTTTTTTACTGACGTTTCGGCCACCGATGTGGAGAAACATGCAGTTTTATGAGCATGAAAACCATATGATAAGTATTCAAGTTTATGGAGCCAAATGTTGAGAAAAATTCAAATGCATTAAAATGTGTAAGGCTATTATGTCTTATTGCAGAATTTACAGCCTCCCACCCGTACAACCCCCAATTTTCAACCCATCCAAAAAATCCTGGAAATTATCAGAAGCCTCTGAAACGTCAAAAAAACCTATATTGGGCGATTTTTACTTCAGTTCTCTGTTTTCTTCATTTTGTTATAGAGGTTGGAAATAAATTCGTATAAATGGCACCACTGCAAAAACAAGAGTGATTTCTGTGAAATCAATACTGTTTCCAAGATAATTCTCGGTATTTGATAAATAATACGAAGTTAAATTGGAGCACAACTAAATATAGATATTTACAAGCGTCAATCGCCCCTACCCTTCATGTTTGGCCTCATTAAAACAACCGCCTGCGTGGGGTTCCAAATACTCGATTTTATAAGGCTTATGGATTATTTGGAATGTTTTGCTGCAACGGGAATTTTTGTCTCCACCTAATCTCCCTCACGATAAATATGCGGTAGTATTTAACAATAATGCGCCGGCTATTCCTGTAAAATAAAAGCAAAGCATATAAAAATATCTCCAAACTTCATTTTATATCGTTTTTGGCGTCATAAATTTTTAGACTAAAACGTAAAAAAAAAGACGTTTTTAAACGGTGAAATACTGTATTTCTTTCAAGATGATTTAAAATTTGTTATAATTTTAAAGCTCAGTTGAAAAATAGGAGTTTCGCAAGCCATCTGGTGATTTTAAAAACGTTTTGTTTTGTTCAGTTACTTTCATACGGCTAAAAATCGTTTGTTGAATCGTCTTTATTTGTGGGTTTAGTTATCTTCAATGCATATTTAGAATACATACTTGTATTTATTTCAGAATTTACAATATGGATAATTGATATTTAACTTTTCAGTCTCAACCATTAAGATAAATAGCTTCTTTTGTTTTAATATTCATCATGTCACAAGACCATGACACCAGAGGAAAACCATAAAAAAGATATTTTAAACGTGATATAACTACGATTAGCTAAATAAATGAAATCGTTTTTTATTAAAAATAACAAGGCTTCAGTTGGATCGGTCTTAAAACAAGAGATTCTTATAGATTGAGAGATCACGGACCCACATGGCAAGGGTTGTGTTTGGGAGCTAGACATTTTTTTATAGCGGATCGCAGTCGTTGTTTTTATTGAGTATTTTTTACTGTAAAGAAATGACAAAAGGTATAAACTAGGAAAAGAAAAGTAGATAAACAATTGACATGAAAACTGCTAGAGGTGACGCCAGGGTAGTCAGTGACAAATACGTACATGATCTCGAAAAAAAATAACAAGATACATTTAGTATGATATTATTGACTATCATTCATGACTTTTGTATTCAAAAACCATTGATTTTTACTTGCAGTAATGTAGCATTGAAATTCATCAAGGTCTACCTATCGGAAGTAATTACATAAGAGCATCAAAATTACCGATAATTTTTCATGAAAGCGTAAGAACTGCATGAGTTTATTTTTAACGGGAAATTTTCGCTGTAATTTCACAACTCTTATGGCATTTTTTATAAATAAAGGAAATATTCAGAGTAAATACTGGAACCACCGACAAAAGGGTATCTGCCGAGAGCAAGTGACGCGCTATTTATTTCAGTAGGCCAAATCGCGCTAGTTTTAAAATACCGTTTTTTGATTTGCTACGTATTGATCAAGGTTAACTCGCGAAATTGTCACATTTAAGCAATTTGAATCGCATCAGGCGAGAAACCACTAAAAACGTGTTTTTAAGCATTTATACAAACGTTTAGTATCTCTTTTCATGAAAATTTGTTATATGGTGTATCTAGCAATACAATACAATAAAAGACACATAGTATAGAGATTTGTTGTATTTGTAGTGAAAGTCGGGAATGGAGCACACCAGGATATCTATTTCAACAATTTGTCGATTTGCTTAAGATTTTCGAACATTGAAATCCCAAATACCGTATATTCACCCATATACTAATATCTTAGAAGTATCGAGTTCAAACATTTTTAAACAAAACCATGGCCTTAGGAAAGATAGTCGACCTACTTGACACTAATTTTCGAACAACGAAAAAGTCCGTGCACATGGATACATGCGTAAATATCGGGACGACACAATTAAGGGACGTACGAGACGATACCCGCAATGTTCGACCAAATTCGCCAATGTGGTCTCTTGACCACTTTCAGGAAATGCAGCAACAACAGCACCATCAACAACAGCCCATCCAAATCCAGATGAGCCTGTCCCAAATGACCAAGATGACCGATATGGAGTTAATGATGGACGACTCGTTAGACAGCGCATCGGTCGCCTCATTGGAAAGCCAACTGCCGGCAGGCACGGTTCTGATGACCGCCCATTGCCCTACGGTGATCACATCGATGGCCCAGCAGCAGCAACAGGTGCAACAGCAGCATCAAATGCAGCCGATACAAGTGACCGTGCAGGTGGCTGCCCCGCAATCGCAGCAGCAGACTGTCACGGTCGCATCGTCGCCTGTTCCCCCTCAGCAAACGCAACCCCCGCAGGTTTCGACACCCTCGTCTTCGGGTAGCGGACCGCCGCCGCCGGTGCCGCATACCCCTACTCCATCATCCTCGAAAAAGGTACGAAGCGGAGAGCGAAGTCTATATGTCGGGCAGACGGATTAGGCGCGTCGTCCATCGGAAGCGACTACGCGCTCACGCAAAACGTGCGAGGCGACAAGCGATTTTGAATAGTAATGGTTTAGCATCACATTTCCAGCGGTTTGACACTGGCAGGGGTATTACGTACATATCTAGAAAAGTGGCATGTGGTTTTTTTGTATATACATATAATGGACAAAAGTATATAGACAAATATGGATATTTACCTAAATACCTTTAGAAAACGAATTGATACTTCATTGCTCCATAAACAAATGCGTTATTAGTAGAAAAACTAAATTCCAAAATTCCTTGTTTTTACATTATCTGCAATGAACACAATACAAGTCTGAATATAAGCACTTTTTTATGAGGGACAAAAATATGTAGACAAATTCTTTTCAACATTAGTTTAGTACAGTTTCGTGTCAGAAGAGGATTAGTTTGTGTTCATCAAGTATTGTGGAAAAGTTGAGTGATTTTAACACCATGCCGCGTGGTCCAGAAATTTCTTTCGATGTGAAAACTCCTTGAGTTATACAAAGATGGTCAACGTCAAGTCGACATTGCCAAAAATTTGAGGCTGAAGCGTAAAGCAGTTTGATCAATATTGAACAAATATAAACAAAAAGGTATCGTGGAAGCCTCTAAGAGAAGTGGTTGGCCTAGAAAACTAAATGCTAGATCAGTTAGATTAATAAAAGTAATGTCGTCCAAAGATCCGTTTAAACCCCAAAGACAAAAGCCGAAATCGAGACAAAAGGAATTGTCAGTGTTTCTACGAAAACTATAAGTAGTAGATTAAATGATTTGAAGTTATTTGCACGTCGCCCCAGTGACAAGTCACTAATCTCGAGGAAAAACCGTAAGGACCGATTACAATTTGCACGGTTGCATCTTGATTGGAGCATCTGTGAGTTGAAGAGGGTATGTTTCAGTGACGAATCCAAGTTCAATATGTTTGGATCAGATGGTGTTCATTACGTTAGACGTCCTAGTGGACAAAGATTGAACCCCAAGTACACTTTGCCCACTGTCAAACATGGAGGCGGGTCTGTTATGGTTTGGGGTGCTTTTCGGGGTTTGGGATGGGACCTTTATATAGAATAGATGGCATCATGGATAAGTTTGTATACACAGACATACTAAGCATGTCATGTTACCCTATATGGAAGACAATATGCCCTTAAGATCAATCTTCCAGCAAGATATGACCCGAAGCACACTTCAAATCTCGCAAAGAAATTCAATCTGCATGAAAAAATACCAGTTCTCAAATGGCCTTCACAGTCTCCCGATATAAACTCCATTGAAAATCTATGGGAATACTTAGATAAGCAAATGCGAAATAAAAAATATTCAAACAAGGATGAACTTTTTGCCGCTTTAGAGAAAAAGTGGAGACAGATTCATGAATCTTATATCAAGAAACTTCTGCAATCTAGGCCGAGAGGATGCCAGGCGGTGATTGATAATAATGGTTATGCTACAAAATATTAACACAAACATGGTTGGTTTTCTATAATTCAATGAACTTTGCTTCTTTTTTCTATAATTTGTTTTGCTTTGTCTATATATTTTTGTCCTTCATAGTTCCATTATTTCAATTAATTTTTTATTGAAGGGAGTCTAATAAATTTATTTATGTATAAGTGAGTATTATGCTATAACGAATTATGTATACAGGGTGGTGTATTAATAAAACAAGTTAAAAAAGAAATACAGCAGAATATTAATTTGTCTATATACTTTTGTCCATTACTGTATATAGGTTTTTGTAACATTATGTAGGTTTTTCTACAAGACGACAACTTGGCACTAGCTGTTGTACACGTGTTGTGTACTCGTCCCATAGCTGTACGTGTTGCCTAAAGGTCATGACGCTTCACCTAGCAATGTTTGGCTCTGATCTGCTTCAGAGATGGCATTATTGGGCTGCAAGTAGTATATTACTCGTATAGCAGGAAGGAACCGGTAGTGCGTAGGTGCATAGTGAGGATTTAGAATAATATGTGTTGATGATAATCCCATTGGTTTCTTTCCTCAAATATACTCGCTTGAGATGTATGCAAAGGTGAAAATTAGTCCGCCTTCTCTTACTCAACACACAGAAATATTTATGAAACGTAAAGTTATTACATTTCACATTAATTTTTATTTCCAAATACGAATCAGCCTAGATGTGAAGCAGTACGAAAATGTTTTGTTTGTGATGCGTCATTCCTATTTTTCTGTGATATGGCTTAATTACACACAACGCGGGCACGGTGCTGATTTTTCGTAATGCTTCTCAAAGTTTTTGAAAACTCAAAAAACCGGGAAAATCGTAATGTGTAACTTTGAACATAACCTGTATTCAGAAACGATAACACAAATAACCCGTCTGGCACAGCTAATAGATATATTTTATGGGCAGCATATTCAGTAATAATTTTCTCTTGCTACTCTGCTGCTCAACCATACATCTTTTCAGAGTATACCCTACGGACTATCTCGGCAGCTTGCAGTACGGTCATTGAGCGTCGTAGATAGAAGCGGAATGTACTATTTGCAGACTAGGAACTATCTAGGCAGCAAGTTGACGTTTTATAGCTTTTTTACGTAATAGCCCTGCCTTCAACGCGCATGTGTTGTCAAAAGACTAGTTTCAAACTGTCTCAGATTTTATTCTGCTAGAACACATTTTTGAGTTGACAATGACAGCATCGAATTTGATATTTACATGAAATTCCATGTTTCTTTCCTCATTGTTAGGCCATTGAATTATAGTTCCTGATATACTAAGTTCTTGACTTGATTAAACGTTTTATTACGTAGAATGGACAACTAATCGTTATCAAATCTATCTGCTACATCACGGAATGATGATGTTTCATGTCCAGCGAACCACAAAAAGATGAGTGTTTGCTCATAAGCAGAAAGTTTCACAATGCCTGGAGTCGTCTTTTTGAAGAACATGGTATGTTTGTATTTAATTTAGCCATTTTGCGAGTCACTGTGAAAAGTTCCGTGAATTCACTTCCATTGTAAAGAATGCCGTTACATTTATGTAATACTTTTTTTTTTCGCTTATGATCAGTATGTGTAGAATGTTTTCATCATAACTAGATTCGATACCTCGGATCCAATCAGATTCTGAACGTGACCTATATGAATCTGATATTTCTGTGAGCAATACGGGGGTGTCTTTTAAGTTTTGCATATGGAAATAAAACAACACGGTAGATAGTTTTAAATGACTTTATTGTTTTTGGAAGTATTCTCCACGAAGATTAATACAAATCTGCATGCGCTCGAACCAATTTTCGAAGCACTTATTCCACTCGTTTGCTGGCAGATCCAAAACGGCATTTTTGAATGCGTCAACTGCTTCTTCTGGTGACTGGAACCTTTGACCACGCAGTCTGTTTTTAATTTTCGGGAAAGTAAAGAAATCGTTTGGATTTGGATCGGGACTATATGGAGGATGGTCCAATAATTCCACGTTTTCTTCCGTTAAATACTGCCTTGTTTTTTGGGCTGTGTGCGAGCTTGCATTGTCTTGGTGGAAGATGATTCTTCTTTCGGGGCTGATTTTTCGAAGCTCGGTGATGACTTTTGGCAAACAAATGGTGGTATACCAATCCGCAGTAACAGTTCTTTGCTCATTAAGAGGAATTGTTGCAATATGACCCGCTTTTGACACAAATGTCGCGACCATCTTTTTCGAAACACTTCGAGAACGGATGAGTTTTGTTGGCTTTTCTTCTCCTTGGAACACCCAAACAGCCGACTATCGTTTATTTTCTGGTTCATAACAGTAAATCCACGATTCATCACCACTAACAATGCTGTACACATTTTTTGAGTTTCCGGAATTGAAACCGTCAAGCGTTTTTTTGACACCAATTAACCCTGGCTGCTTTCTGCTCTTCAGTCAACAGGTGGAGTATCCAACGAGAAACTAATTTTCTTACTCCTAATTCTTCATGTAAATTTTTTGGAATTGAGGTCTTTGAGATCTTCAAGGACGTCTCAATCTCGCGATATGTCACATGTCTATCTTCAATGATGAGTTTGCGCACAGCATCGACATTTTCCTGGGTGACTGCCGTTTTTGGTGCACCCACAATGGGATCGTCGCTAAGACTCACCCGTCCACTTTTGAATTTTCTCCATACCAACGGGAAATTGTCGACTGATGTGGCGCTTCGTTGCCGAAAACAGACACTAACTCAGCAAGGCATTCTTGTTACGATAATTGTTTCTGAAAGTTGTAATAAATTATGGCGCGAAAATGTTCTTCCATTTTTGTAATGACTTGGTGACACTCAAAAATTCACTGTAGAGAGAACACTGCAAAACTTAAAAGACAAACAGGTATACACAATAGAAAACTTCACACAATATTTGATAAAAACGGTTTTGACTTCAATCTCTTCAATTGATCCTATCCAACTATTCAAAGTTGCAACGAAACTAAGAAAGACAGAAACTCCCCAACACAATACAAAAACAATAACCCCAAATCATAAGGCACCCATAACCTCTTCTGCGCATCTTAGAAACTCCGAGTCCGGGCAAAATCCTGTGTACTGTTTTGACCCTACCGAAACCGGTTTTCAAACTAAAAATTGGTTTGCTGAACTAGGTTTAATCCACGCATGAACATTTTTTCTCCACTACGCATACCCAGTCGGTTTCAAACCGTTGCACATGTGATGCTAGAACAATCTAGGTGTGTGAAGTTGGTCCAAAAAATTCTGGGTTGTTAACGATGTGTCATACGATTTTCCATCGTTTTACCACATTTTTCCGCCACATCGTTACACCTCGTTTTTCCAACAAAGATTTTTGTTTTTTCACATTTAGGTTAGGAGAAAAAAACAAGGTCTTGTGAAGTTACCCACAATTGGTCAGAGAAAAATGAGCACACATGCATTTTTCATCGTTTTACCATGTTTGCCCAGCCAAAATTTTATTTCCACCTTTGAATAAAGAAAAAATGAGAAATGATTTTTCAGGGTCATTTGAGGGTAGCCTAGAAATTTCTGACGGGAATCACGTTTACTTCTTATTACTCTTTTTCACCACAAAATTTGCCACCTGACAATACGGAAAATTGAAAACAAGTAGGGTCAAACGATTTTTTTAAATCTGACTAATTTTCGGCTTCACATGACATTGGTTATTTTTTCGTCGTAAAACGAAAATGTGTGATGGGAAAACGTAAACCGATGAAGAAACCATCTGTAACGGTCGTTTTATATAAATATTTGGAAAACCTGAGCTACGTGAACTTGGTCTAGAATTTTTTTCCATTTTTTTAAGCTTAGGGTGCTTCTGTGCTAAATTCACAGACTTGCGCAGCTCTCATTCACTTTCTAGATTCTACCAATCCAGTGGACGTCAAGCTTAGGACTTTCCATATACAGGGTGTTCTGTACTTGACGGAACATTAGAAAAAGTAAATGTAAGCTACTGGTGTAACGACACCCAGAATATCACTGACAACATAATAAGAGTGTATATATTCTTAAAGTTTTATTTTGGGTTTGATTTTCAGAACATTTCCAGTATTTTTAATGGTCATCTAATATTTACTGATGTATAAAAAAAATTGCGAGACATGATTCCTAAACGCACCAACCAAATACAAAGTAGAACAGGGTACTTGCAGTTTAATATTGACATTATATTTTGTAACATATACTCAGCGACATTAGAAGTGTGACATCCAGAAAAAATAATTTCCTCAACTTGTTTTTTGGAAACGTAATGACTATATTTAAAGCATGCTGTGTCAACGTTTTATCTTTGTTTTTGTTTACCTTTTCCTACCGTCCACGGTTGATGCTTTTTCTGACTGCGGACGATGGTCGTAAAAGGGTAGGGAGAACGGCGTGATATCGGATTTGCTGTTGAGAGGCATGTATACAGGACTGTTGGAGTAATGGTTTAGGGGGCTACTGCCTATAGTAGCCGATCACTGCTTGCCTTTGTTCAAGGCAATACGACTGCTGCGCGTTATGATGATGATATCCTATAAACCACTTTACTGCCATATCTAAAGGGTCGTCCACAAGTCATTTTTCAGCGATACAATGTATACTAAGTGACATATAAATCCGAACACCCAGTTTAAATGGTTTTATTTTAATAATAAGTATTTAATGAAGCATAATAAGTAAATGATAAAAAATTCAAAATGATTGCACTGCTTTAAAGCCCTTTGACCTTTAATAATGTGTGGATGCACCCTGATGTGCTACGCATTCTCCAACGCGCCTAGGCATGCTTCTGATCAGGTGGTCAATGTCCTCCTGTGGTATCTCATTCCAGGCAACCACCAACTCCTCTCGAAGTGCTTCTAGAGTCTGAGGAGGACGTTGCAAATTGAGCAATCTCCTACCCATCATATCCCACACGTGCTCAATTGGGGATAAGTCGGGAGATCTTGGTGGCCATGGTAACAATGTGACATCATTATGTTGAAAGAAGTCTATTGTGACTCTTGCAACATGTGGTCGGGCATTATCTTGTTGGAAAGTTTAATCTGCCAGGGTGTCAAGATAGGGTAAAAGATGCGGTTCTAGAACTTCGTGGATATAACGCTGCGCGTTCATGTTACCTCTGATGAAGATTAAAGGTGACCTGGAACCATAAGCTATAGCACCCCAAACCATGACTCCAACAGTGTGATGAACATGTCTTTCAACAAAAAACTGTGGATTCCTCCTTTCACCACGTCGCCTTCTAACCCTGGCACGGCCATCGTGCATGCCTAAACAAAATTGAGACTCGTCACTAAAGACAATACTGTTCCATTCCTGATCCCAGAGTGACCGTTGTCTGCACCACTCAAGGCGATTACGTCGGTGTTATCGAGTTAAAGGGAGGACCCAGTGTGTGTAACGCTTCCTTTCCGCAAAAAGTCCAGAAAAGATGGAATGCAATGAAGATTCCAACTTTTCTGCACAATCACAGAAAGGGGGTTACCATTAGCTTCCGGTAGCTCAGTCGGTGGCATGAAGACATCTACAGGCGTGTAGCTGTGTGTCGACCATGGCATGGCTAGAGGATAGAAGAACAAACAGAACACAAAAATTTTACAGATTTTATTTAACAAAAAAAAGGCATTTTCATTACATTACAATTTTACAAAAATAACAAATAAGTTTTACATCTTTGGCGCTGCTATAACGCTATCGACTTATCTTTCGCTGGTCCATTTTTACTCGACTGAAGCCAGGATGGCCAGGGGCTTGAAGGGGAGGTCCCAGTTATGAGGGGTGACCTCCATATAGTGGCTTCACAACCAGTTGTAGGCGAAGTTAAAGGCGATGGCGCTGCCAAGGTACATGCATGGGTGAAAATATTGGCCAAGGCTAGGCAAAGTGAAAGGGAAAGAGAAAGGGGGTGGCCCCAATCTGAAAAAGAACCGTGTGCATTAGCAACGTGCCCTAATGGCCAAGGCATTTCCAATCGCAGTCTGCCTCAAAAAAGAACCAACGATTTTCTAGGTTAGAATTACATTATATTGTTTGATGAAATCAAACCGAAAATTGGAAATGCCTTTCATAAAATAAAATCATGAAATAGCAAAAAAAAGCGTAAAACAAGATGGTGGTCATCAAAAATTTCTCCACATGCTTCTGATATAAAAACATAATCATCGAATATTCATAATCAACGTACTTATAATTTCACTGAACTATGAATATAAATACGCGCACAGAGGTAAAATCGATGTGGATCGATTTCCACCTCGATTTGATTAAAGCGGGTGATTAAAGTTATGGCGAATGATCGAAGTAGTCGAAAATGACGTTCGATGGATATTTTAAAATCGTATAAGAAATAAATCACTTACATATCGATTATCTATAAACTACAGGCAGATCCAGCAATAAAACTGTATAGTATTATAAAACTCACCATTTTTGTCCTATACGGACAAACATTCTAGAAAATTCTAGCACATGGTGCTATATAACCTTGTGCTACTGAGAAGAAATTTCTAGCCGTTGTTCGATCGGCTAAAGACAATACTGTTCCATTCCTGATCCCAGAGTGACCGTTGTCTGCACCAATCAAGGCGATTACGTCGGTGTTCTCGAGTTAAAGGGAGAACCCAGTGTGGCCGGTATGAAAACAAGCCAAAACTTCTCATTCGTCGGTAAACACTTCGCATGCCAATAGGTCTTCCGTGTTCTGCAAACCATTCATTTGCAATGGACCTGGTAGTGGAGATACGGTCCCTTAAGGCCAATAATCTTAGGCGGCGATCTTCACGGTCTGTTGTTCTACGGCGGCGTCCAGTGCCCCTTGCTCTTTGCGTACGGCCTTCTCGAAACCATGCCTGACAACACCTAACCACAGTGTCTACACTTCTTTGCACTCTAACTGCAATTGCCCGAAAAGAAAGTCCAGCTTCCTGAAGTCCCACTATACGGCCCCTATCAAACTCACTAAGTTGACGAAATCGTACAGGTCTCCGTACTCTAGGCATCGTAACCGATCGTAAAGGATGTCAAGAACCAAAATCCGCCAACGTTGATTCTTTACTGCGGCTGAAATATTCATTTTTAGAGCGTTAGTGAATTAAAAAAAAGTATAAAAACCGGAATGTCCAACTGATAAGGCTGAAAATTTTTTCACTTGTTATTTACAGTAAGATAAATACATTCACCAACTTTTATTAAAATAAAACCATTGAAACTGGGTGTTCGTATTTATATGTCACTTAGTATATGTCCCCATATTGCTCCTCGTACGACGGACTTTATTCAAGAAGCTGGCGTTAATGTTTTGCACCGGATTTAAATCCTATCGAACATATGTGGGAGATGATGGGGAGGAGACTATCCGCCACAGACTGAGGTGCCGCAACCAGAAATCGATCATCTCATTTTGTCGATGCCTAGACGTATACAGGAGTGTATTCAGCTGCGGGGTCGCCCAACACACACATTTTTTTTTATTGTGAATAAAATTTTGCGAGATAGTTATCGCTCATTCTTGATCTAAGACTACCTCATTGCGAAAAAAACAAGTTGAGGAAATTATTTTTCCTGGGTGTAACACTTCTAATGTAGTTGGGCATATTGTAGAATACGTTGATTAGTGACAATATACTAGCATATAATCGATTTTTTTTTTCAACTAATTTCCCCCTTTAGAAATCGAACAAGAACAAAGTCGTAACCGGCTACATCTTGTACTCGCGCGAGGTGCGCAAACAAGTGGTGCAGAACAACCCGGAGTCGACATTCGGCGACATCAGCAGGATAGTGGGCAGCGAATGGAAATCGTTGCCGCAAAGCGAGAAACAGCTGTGGGAGGAACGGGCGAGCAGGTTGAACGAGGAAACGAAAGCGACGATGATGAATGTCGCCGCAGCGGCAGCGGCCGCCGCCGGGGAAGACAGCACGTGCGCTAGCCCGCAGCCGAATATGCCGCCTCAAGATCAGGTCAGTAAGTTTTATATGCCGCGTCCGCACGCTTGGCGCTCGCCGCAAACTCCAAACCTCTACAAACAGTACAAACGTTAGGCTTTTTTTTTTGACGCAAACATCGCCATCCGCACCTCTGCGGTTTGCGGGTGCGTCACTGTATACCTAAGTGGCAAGCATGACTGACATCGAACTTGTATCGGCCATAACATTGAAATGAACTACAGTGGTCCCCCGATAATCCGGCCCCTGTCTAATCCGGCGCCCCCTGTAATCCGACATGTCTTTGAATATGTATTACATACATACGAATTTGACAATCTTCGCTAATGTAGATCACGCAGGTTTGAACAGGTTACAACTTGTACGTGCCACCGCTATAGTGCTCGACGCGTAAGCATTGAATTACTTAGTTTGAATTTGACTACTGGTGATAGCGGTACGGCCTAGCGTGCGTTCATTGTTTACTATTTAATCATTGTGTATTAAGTATAGTACCTAGTAATGTCATCACAAATTCAGAAGCGAAAGCACAAAACATTGACAATTAAAGAAAAATGTGATATTTTAGACCGCTTAAATGAAACTTTCAGTAGTTTAGCAAGTGAATACTGCGTAGGCCGATCTACAATTTATGACATTAAAAGAAACCACGAGAAGATCAAGAAGTTCGTGTCAACTACTAACTGCGCGCCAGGCAAGAGACAGACACTCAAGAAAGCTGAACAACCAGAAGTGGAAGAAGCTTGGTACATGTGGTTTCTTCAGGAAAGAAATAGGCATGCACCAATTTCGGGACCCATGTTGGCCATGAAAGCTAAGTTTTTTTATAAGGAAATAACAAATAAAGATGATTTTGTGGCCAGCAAAGGATGGCTAGAACGTTTTAAAAGTCGTCATGGCATACGTTTAATGACTATTACTTTCGTTTCTTGTAATGAAAAATCCGTACCTGGACGAAAAGTAAGTAAAGAGCGTGTAACCATACTAGCATGTGCTAACGCTGCGGGCACACACGCGCTTAAGATGATGGTCATTGGGAAATCTAATAAACCACAGGCACTCAAAAACATTGATTTACCTGTACACAATTACGGACAAAAAAGTGCATGAATGACAAAAGACCTTTTCAAAAAATGATTTGATGAATGCTTCGTACCTAAAGTTAGAAAATGGTTAAAAGATCATAATTTTCCTCAAAAAGCGTTATTGCTTCTTGATAACGCTCCCGGTCATCCGTCTGAAGAAGAACTAACAACTGAGGATAAATGCATCACTGCGATGTTTCTTCCGCCAAATTGCACTGCACTGATTCAACCAATGGACCAGAATATCATTCAGTTTGTCAAGCAAGACTATAAGAAAAACCTACTTCTGAGAGCCGTATCAAAAGACCAACCAGTAGAAAAAACTTTAAAAGAATTTAATATGAAAGACTTGGTTTTTGCTCTTTGTCAATCGTGGAATGCGTTACCGTCATCAACTATTAAATCGTCTTGGAAAAAGTTATGGCCAGATATAGTCACCACCACAAATCATGTTACTTCGGAAGTTATAGAACAAGTCGCTACTGAAACACAAATAAGTCCGGAAGATTTGGAAATCTGGTGCCGTGAAATGGATAAAGAGGAAAATGTTTTTCATGAAATGTCTGACGAAGAGATTATAAAAGAGGTTTCTAATTATACAACAAACAATCAGGAAAATAAGGACGACGTGATTGCAACTGTTCCACAAGCCACAGCACAAGACGCAATTAACGCCTTTGAGCTAGGTTTACAATGGGCTGAAGAGAATGGTACATCCTACAACGAACTTTCACTTTTGAGAAGACTGAGGGACAAAGCTCTGATCTCGCGTTATAACAACCTTAAACAAAAACAAAAAAATTGATGAATATTTCCAAGCTTCATAATTTGATAAATTCATTAATGATTTTGATTAATAATTTTTGATTATTTTGGTACATATGTATGTGCATTTATGCTTAATTTTATAATAAAACGTAAGCTCTCTATTGTTATTTAATTTACTAAATTCGACATTCATAAACTATGTATGATTTGTACTTCAAAGTACATACTTATACATAACATATACATATAATCTTACCCTTGGATATGTAATTTGTCGGATAACAAGGTACTCTTTTGTAAAAAATACCGGACTATAGGGGATCTTAGGCAGTGCTCTATAATCCGACAAATTCGATAGTCCGACACTGCCCTGCATAATGTTTGTCGGATTACCGGAGGTCCACTGTAGTATATCCCAGAATAAGGATAAGGATTCGTCGTCTGAAGTGGAAGTCTATTTCCAAGGCCTTCGCGATCATCAGACATAACTTGTGTTGATTTTTATTTGTGGGGACGATTAAAGAACACCGTGAATCACGTAACATACCGAAATTGAAGCTGCAGTTTTGTCTACCCATGTCAGGCTTCAGGAATGCATAGAGCGTGATGGTCAGCATTTCGAGCATTTATGCGGGCATTAAAAAACTTTCTTTTTTAAATCGGTCCTTGTTAGGGTCACAACTTAATAATAAAAAGAGATTCCAGAAAAATTAGTCCATAATAAAAACTTGAGAGATTTCTGTCTAAAATTTTCTTTGGCCTAAATTTTAGGTTAGGAACAAAATATCGATATGCTGTTTTCGCGAGCTTGTCTAAAGATCATTTAGCCACTATTTCATGAATAAATCATACCAATGCATTTAATTTTTTGAGAAAATTAACCATTCCTGTCGAAAGGTCGAAGAAAGACCTCTAGCGGCCACATGTGAGACTAACAGTACTTCAAATATTATAACATTTGTAGCCCAAGAATAGCTCCTTTCAATTAGCCTAAGTTTGTTAGAATCAGCTCAGCCGTTTCAAAGATGCAGGTTTTTTTTTACGGAAACCTTTGAATACCCCCACCACATTATTTTTAGAGATACAGCAAAAATTCTCACACCAAAAAAGTTCATATTCCCCTCGACTTAAAGATTTTTTGTTAGTATAGCGGAATTTGCAGAAATATCACCTTTTTAGATTCAAGATTGCAGTCACGCCCCCTAGCAACCATTTAAGAAACTTATAAATATTTTCCAGGTTTTTCTCTCGACCGTTTTAGCAAGAACTTTTTTTTTACCGCAAGCCTCTACGATGGATAGGTTCCCATATACAGTACCTCGCATTCTTGCCTCACCCTGTAAATCGATGTGTATCGCTTATTGGAGCGCCATTTGTGTTAGGCTGAGGACTCCAGATTATCATCGTATAATCTCGCGACTTTCATTTGCAAATATAATATATATTTTAGGCAGTAGTGGCAGACGCTTCGTCTCATAATCGGACGCCGTGCTCTGCGAGATAATTTTTTCTCTTGGCTATGGAAGTTGTGATTGTCCGTAGGTGGTAGACGGTCTCTGACTGTCGTAGGCGGAGGTACCACCCGGCGGATGTCATAGGCGGGGCCAGAATGTGTGCATGCTGCATGCACACGTGTTCCCTCGCTAGAGTCCGTGTGGCGGTACCCCATGAGTGTTTAGGCCTTTGTGGTAGCTGGAGTTTTAAAAAATACTTGGTGGCGGAGTAAGACATTGAGGTCTGGCTGGTGAATTAATGTTATTTATTCGATTCTAGATATACGAATGCCTGTGGGACACCTGCGACTACCAGTTCGAAGACACGATCGATCTGATCGAGCACTGCATCAAAGACAGGGATCAACCTAGCCACGTGACGGCGTTCTTCCAGGAGAATCCCGGTCTGGAATTTCACTGTCATTGGCGAAACTGCGCGAGGAACAGAAAGAACCCACAACCGTTCCCGAATGCGACAAGGTTGATCAGGCATATCAGGGATATGCATATCAATAAGGGGAATGGGAGGTCGGTCCCGCCTGATAAGAGAAGCTCGTGAGTAGTGTTGATATTAAGCATGTGCATATTACTATAAGGTTCAGTTCCATAGAACATACGAGGTCTGTAAATTAAGTGATGAGACTGTTTTTTTTATCCAAATCTAATTTTCCAATCATTAGAAGTGTTGGAACTCCGATACTGGAATAGCCTTCAGCTAGCCAGTTACATCCGTTTGAATGTTTTCGACTGCCCCAAAATGAGTTCCCGTGAGGTGATTTTTTAAATTCGGGAAGAGAAAAAAGTCACATGGACTCATGTCAGGCGCATAAGGAGGCTGAGGAGCCACAGGAATGTTTCTACTGATCAAAAACTCGTTTATTGGTTTTGCTGTGTGATAAGAAGCATTCAAACTTGAAAAAAAATTGACATTATTATAGGTAATGACACTAAACGTTCAAGTTTCATTCAAAAAATGCATTCAGTTTTGACCTAAAAATTTGATATCTATATGTCCTTATTTTTAATTAAAAACTTGTTGATTGAATCCGAATATAGAGGTATATATATATCACTGTTGATGATAAAATTGAGAATTTTCTCCAATTAAGGAAATATGAGATTCAAAAATAAGCTTCTAACTTAATCTTTAAGCGATGAAATTTTTCGTTTATATTTCTATTTGTATAGTTTATATAAAACATTACATTTTCATTGTAATATTAGAATATCTTTTTCTTACAAATATTTAAAAATAATTTCTATTTCCTCAGTATCTTCAATACTATTCTCTTTAACTATAAACTAATGCTCATAACTCAACATGCAGCCTCCTGTGTCCGTTTGTTGTCATATTGCAACACTTTGAAATAGTCAAATCAACCTTGATCAAAAATGTTTTTATAAACTTTTCCTATTTTAATTATACTAAGTGACATATAAATCCGAACACCCAGTTTAAATGGTTTTATTTTAATAAAAGTTGGACATTCCGGTTTTTATACTGCTTCTTTTAATTCACTAACGCTCTAAAAATGAATATTTCAGCCGCAGTAAAAAATCAACGTTGGTGGATTTTGGTTCTTGACATCCTTTACTATCGGTTACGATGCCTAGAGTACGGAGACCTGTACGATTTCGTCAACTTAGTGAGTTTGATAGGGGCCGTATAGTGGGACTTCGGGAAGCTGGACTTTCTTTTCGGGCAATTGCAGTTAGAGTGCAAAGAAGTGTAGACACTGTGGTTAGGTGTTGTCAGGCATGGCTTCGAGAAGGCCGTACGCAAAGAGCAAGGGGCACTGGACGCCGCCGTAGAACAACAGACCGTGAAGATCGCCGCCTAAGATTATTGGCCTTAAGGGACCGTTTCTCCACTACCAGGTCCATTGCAAATGAATGGTTTGCAGAACACGGAAGACCTATTGGCATGCGGAGTGTTTACCGACGAATGAGAAGTTTTGGCTTGTTTTCATACCGGCCACACTGGGTCCTCCCTTTAACTCGAGAACACCGACGTAATCGCCTTGAGTGGTGCAGACAACGGTCACTCTGGGATCAGGAATGGAACAGTATTATCTTTAGTGACGAGTCTCGATTTTGTTTAGGCATGCACGATGGTCGTGCCAGGGTTAGAATGCGACGTGGTGAAAGGAGGAATCCACAGTTTTTTGTTGAAAGACATGTTCATCACACTGTTGGAGTTATGGTTTGGGGTGCTATAGCTTATGGTTCCAGGTCACCTTTAATCTTCATCAGAGGTAACATGAACGCGCAGCGTTATATCCACGAAGTTCTAGAACCCCATCTTTTGCCTTATCTTGACACCCTGGCAGATCCAACTTTCCAACAAGATAAAGCCCGACTACATGTTGCAAGAGTCACAATAGACTTCTTTCAACATAATGATTTCACATTGTTACCATGGCCACCAAGATCTCCCGACTTATCCCCAATTGAGCACGTGTGGGATATGATGGGTAGGAGATTGCTCAATTTTCAACGTCCTCCTCAGACTCTAGAAGCACTTCGAGAGGAGTTGGTGGTTGCCTGGAATGAGATACCACAGGAGGACATTGACCACCTGATCAGAAGCATGCCTAGGCGCGTTGGAGAATGCGTAGCACATCAGAGTGCATCCACACATTATTAAAGGTCAAAGGGCTTTAAAGCAGTGCAATCATTTTGAAATTTTTATCATTTACTTATTATGCTTCATTAAGTACTTATACAAAATTTTATTCAAATAAAACCATTTAAACTGGGTGTTCGGATTTATATGTCACTTAGTATATTTTTTTTATGTGCGGATCACATATTCCCGTGTCTTCGGTCGAACCCCGGCGCCTCCAGTGTTGCCAGATCGAACGCTACGTTGCCAGTCGCATCACTTAATTTACGTCTATTTTACTCGTATATCTATGAATATATTATACAGCGCTTTACATCGATACATTTTGAATACATAATAAAACTATAATATAAACGAAATAGGAAGTTCGTAAGCAGTTCCCGCGTGATGCCCGTTCTCCAGCCGGCCGTCACGAAATCCGTAGTCGTTATGACCGGTCAACAGACGCAGCAACCGCAGCTGCAGCTTCAAGTTCACAAGGTGGCGCCTTCGGCGGCAGTAGCTGCCGCTGAGGCGATCGTACACGCTGCAGCTGTTGCCGCGCACGGGACGGTGCTGGCCTCAGCCGCGCATAGCGGTACGGCAATACGCCATCTGTCGCGCTTGCTGCATCGTATCTGTTTTGCTAAGATTGCGTTGTGGTGTCAACAGAGAAAATCCATCGCGTGGTTTAGAATAGTACGTATATCTTTGACTAATGGCACAAGCAGTAATCGTGGCCAAAGTTACTCTCACTCGCAGAAATCGACAAAAAGTAGTTATACGGGTTCACAATGAAATAGCGTTTGTCACAATTAAGTGTGAAAAATCACATCACGGTGCATTGTTTGGGGGCGTTCTTGAAAGTTTGCGTAGACTCTCTCCAAGATCGTTCTCAACTTGGCCGACTTCCACGCGAGTTGCCTCCTTGAACTCGACCAGAATTTGGGGCGCGTGCTCGTATACACGAGTCTTGACGCGTACCCATAGGAAAAAAATCGCAGATGGATAAATCTGGGGACCGAGGGGGCCAATGAACATCACCAAACCTGGAAATAAGGCGGCCACGGAAGAGAGGGCGAATAACGTTCATCGTTGCTCTGACTATGTAGGCCGTCGCCCCACACACGCAATTCACGTGAAAAGAAGTTGGTGATCATTTCAACATAGCGCTCCGAGACCATGGTAACAGCATTGCCATTGCCGTTTTCGAAGAAGTAAGGGCCGATGATGCAAATTTGCGATACAGCGCAACCGTTTTTTTTTGGGTCTTTCATATAACTGTCGCGGATTTTCGTTAGTCCAGTAACGGCAATTCTGCTGGTTATTCATTCCATTAAGATGAAAGTGAGCTTCATCACTCATGAACAAAATGACGTTCTCATTTTGCTCGATAAGTGCTTCCATCTCGCGTGCGAAATTCACTCGTTGTGCGTAATCTCCAGGCTGTGACTGTTGCACAATGGCCAATTTGTTGTGGTGAAAGTGGAGTTCCATATTCAAAATACGCCTTACCGAACGATCACTGAGGCAAAGTTCTGCAGCATGTCGCCGAGCAGATCGGAAACGCACTTGGTTCTCTCATAGATGAAGAACTGACCATGCAGTGTAGCCAAACTGACAAAAACTGTTTATAAACTGCTACATTTATGTATGACACGCTTAGTTCTTTACAGGGTTTTGGCGACTATATCACAATGTCATACTAAATAAAAGTCTTAACTACACCACTTGCGGAGCTCAACTTCCCTAAAGGACATTGCATGCTGCACAAGCCGATCCTTAACACTGCTGCTATTTTCTCTTACACGCACAGAAATTGTGTAAAAGAAGACCGTTGTTTTCATCCATTTCTTGTAAATAAACCAAAAAATTTAACATACTATCGAAATTGTAGTTGTATGTTCAGGCATTGTTATGTTTCGTATCGGAGGTGAATAAGAGGTAAACTCGGATCACACGCGCATAACAGATGTCCGCGTATGTTTGACCAGCCAATCTCTAATTCATTCGCCTCATCTTGGTATAACTACTCTTTGATTGCAACGCTCCAGAACATCACTAGCTGGCAAGTTTTTGGAAAAATCATAGCGCGAATGGAAAACTGAATTAATACACCTTGCGAAGTGTGCCTACATTGTGTATTTTCTCTGTTGATGCGCAATTTCGATTTGCGTTTGTCTCGAGTTCTTGGAGCTCTTTCTTAGTTACAGTTACAGCATCAACGAATTCGAATAGATTAGAAGGAGCCAAGCCTATATGTTTACATTGCATTGTTTGTCGCCAAAATTGCGTAGTTTCATTGCATACTTTTGACTACCATGCCTACCAAAGGGACAACGTTATATCAACATAATAATAATACCCATGGAAGGATCTACCTTCATTAAGCTTGTGCCGCTGTTTACAAAACATGCAAGAAGTATCATGGTCTGGAATCGTCTAACATCGCACTTATCTGCAAACACTCGCACTCTCAATAAATAACACTAAAAATATGCATAGAATGACAGACCTGTCAAAAAATGGTATGTACTTTTTCATCCTGACTACAGACTTGATATTTTGGGGACAAACAAATTGTAGGCTTTCTTCTTCCACCTAGTCTGAATTTGTTGTACAGCATGGATACAGCTTGATGTTGATCTTTCGGTGTTATTCATTTTTGTTTGGTACCTGCCATCAAGCGCCATTACCTGCGATTGTTCTACCTAGGAAGTAATGCGTATTGTGATGCTGATCAACGCCATCATATTTTCTTTTATCTATTTCAACATGTGTATTAGTATGTGTTTATCGTTTGCAATGTTGTCACTACTTAAAGTTACAAAGTTTTCATTAGTAGTTTACATATCGTTAAAAATGGCACTCTTTCCTGAAAGTCATTTTATAAACATTCGATAATGTCACGAAGAAAAATGTCCCCTGCCATAGCTAACGAGCTAGATACAGTAATGGACAAAAGTATATAGACAAATTAATATTGTGCTGTATTTCTTTTTTAACTTGTTTTATTAATACACCAACCTGTATAGCATAATACTCCTTAAACATAAATAAATTCATTAGACTCCCTTCAATGAAAAATTAATTGAAAAAAACTGGATCTATGGAGGACAAAAATATATAGACAAAGCAAAACAATTATAGAAAAAAGAAGCAAAGTTCATTGAATTATAGAAAACCAACCATGTTTGTGTTAATATTTTGTAGCATAACCATTATTATCAATCACCGCCTGGCATCGTCTCGGCATAGATTGTAGAAGTTTCTTGATATAACATTCATCAGTCTGTCTCCACTTTTGCTCTAAAGCGGCAAAAAGTTCATCCTTGTTTAAATAATTTTTATCTCGTATTTGCTTATCTAAGTATTCTCATAGATTTTCAATGGGGTTTATATCGGGAGACTGTGAAGGCCATTTGAGAACTGGTATTTTTTCATCCAGAAAGAATTTCTTTGCGAGATTTGAAGTGTGCTATCTTGCTGGAAGATTGATCTTAAGGGCATATAGGGTAACATGACATGCTTTAGTATGTCTCTGTATACAAACTTATCCATAATGCCATCTATTCTATGTAAAGGTCCCATCCCAAGCCCCGAAAAGCACCCCAAACCGTAACAGACCCGCCTCCATGTTTGACAGTATGCAAAGTGACACTGACAATTCCTTTTGTCTCGATTTCTGCTTTTATTTGTCTTGGGTCGTTGGACGAAATTACTTTTTTTAATCTAACTGATCTAGCATTTAGTTTTCTAGGCCGACCACTTCTCTTAGTGGCTTCCAAGATACCTTTTAGTTTATATTTGTCCAAATTTTTGGCAATGTTGACTTGACGTTGACCATCGTTGTATAACTCAATGATCTTAGTTTTCACTTCGAAAGAAATTTCTGGACCACGCGGCATGGTTTTAAAACTCAACTTATTCCACAATACTTGATGAACACAAACTAATCAATCCTCTTCTGACACGAAACTCTACTCAACTTATGTTGAAAAGAATTTGTCTACATATTTTTGTCCCTCATAAAAAAGTGCTTATATTCAGACTTGTATTGTGTTCATTGCAGATAATGTAAAAACAAGGAAATTCGTTTTTCTACTAATAACGCATTTGTTTATGGAGCAATGAAGTATGAATTCGTTTTCTAAAGGTATTTAGGTAAATATTCATATTTGTCTATATACTTTTTTCCATTACTGTACATTAGAATTCTATGTGACAGTGTGCCTTTGCGAGATGTAAATAATATAAGCAAAGTGCATTTTATACATCAACATACATATACATATGTTATTTTCTTCTGGAATGATAATGTAGATTGTAGTAGCGTTGTGCATTTTACGAATTTGGTTGTTTTGTTGTGTTGTGTAGGAACTTCAAGCCTTCCAGTAAACCACAACCGGTTAGTCGTCCGACTCCTACTGCTACCCCTATTCCCAGTGAGTTTTTATTTATTTATTCTTTATTTTTTCTATTTGCTTTCAGTTTTTTGCATATCACTCTCCTGCTGCAGCATGTAAACTCCAGACCTCACTGTTCAATAGTAAAAAAGTACATTGTTTGGTACAGAAACTTAGTGACGTTCCGACTGATACAGTATAAGTGCCTCTTCATTACTGATCAGCACTTGATACAGTCTTGTGACACTTCTAGACGGGCAATATTTTTTAGTGCATTACACTAGTTTACACGAAAAATGTACCTCAACAAAAATGTGTTTTTAGACTAATTTTAGGTCGTTGAAAACGAAAATGACTCATTTATTTGTCCGAACAACCGTTTACGAGATTTTTTGTGCCTTAGTGCAGTTATTACCTGGAATCTCGGACACGGTAGGCGTCATTTTTTGGACGTGTGTAAGTTTTAAAAGCCACATATGTTCTCTTGGCAATATATGATTTGTGACGATTAAATTTGTAGTATTCGCAAAATAGCTGCTGAAAGTTGAAAAAAGAGCATTTTTGAGGTTTCTTGAAAATTATCGATATTTATTGGCTTTTTTTTTTCGGGGCAAACGTTTTTTTAGTAAGATAAATTATGTAAGCATAAAGATAATTGTGTCACCTATATAGCCATACGCCCAAGTTTGTTTGAATCGGACAAAAAATGTGGAAGTTATGACGCGTGATGTGAACACATGCGATTTTACAGTATTTGACACGGTTACATTTAGGGTCTAAAATACGATTTAACTCTCAAAATGTTTCCCTTATGTTGCGTGGAATCTTCACGAAGTTGCATCCAGCAATAGTCGCTCATCATGCCTTGATTCCAAAAGCCCTCATAACGCTTTTCAATCGCAGCAATGTCTTGATGAAATGGCTCGCCTTATTCAACACCTTCAGCATCCAAATTCGGAGGGAAAAAATACAAAAGACTGTGAAGTCGGTGCATTTTCCAAGACATGCGAAAACCTAAAGCATAAAAAAGTTGAATGTTATTTTTTATAATTTTTAATCATCATTAATTTTCATCATTGTATGTTTTAATTGACGGTCGTTCTTGCTCCTGTCGTTTCCCAAGAATCCATGAACAACTTTTTGGTAAGCTCCCGAAGCGTAAGCTTCGGAATTGTTCAAGCATTATTGAAACTCTGTGTCAGTAAACAAGTTTTCTTTGTCAACAAGTGCTTTCTTGATAACGTTGCTTTTTCCCACATGTTTCACACGCTTCGGCCAATCACGATTAGTGGAATGTTTTTCGTCTGCTCTGCTCTGCTATCCCAAATACATAAAGAAGACCAGTCAGAATAGCGACAACTTTCAAGTTACAGCATATTTTCCAGATATCCGAACTGTAGTTAATCATTTGAAGTAGCTGTTTCATTGCCTTATATGTTTCTTTGACATTTGTGGAATCTGTAACGAGAATCGATGGTTTCTTGTGGCTTTTTTGGAATACTAACACTGTACATGCTGTACTGCAAAAAAATTCAAGAAATCGAATTGCTCATAAATGAATATATTGTACTTTTCCTGGAGTAAGAAAGGACTCTTGATTTATTTTTGAAAACTTTGCCATCCTGTATCTAAAAATTTAAGACATTTAGGAGATAGTTTCATATAAAATGGACCACAAAAGTCGCCCCCTTAAATGTTGACATCAGATTAAGAAACACAAAAATATTGTTCGTTTAGAAGTTCCATTACACTAGTGCAAGGAATCTATTACAACTTTTGTAGCAGCAGAATGGTTTTTGAATACAGCTGCATGATCTTTGTACTTAAATGTGTATTTTTATTCGTAAAGATATAGTGTGTGTTAATAGGTAAGTAAATGTGTGTGCCATTGGAAATACATACTAAAATAATAAAGTATAATAGTATAGAAATAAATTATCTTTTATATATCAGTTTTGAAAATGTTACGAGATCCTTCCATCGAAACTTATTTACGTATTTACTGTGGTTTATACTCAGTTTTCACTGGTGATTCCGTTATTGTCAGCGGACTTCTACATAACCTTGTACATTCATAATCGCTAACGTTCTGGCTCCACGGTCAATAAATATCACCTGCTACATTCGCCTTAGTAAGACAGAAAATAAGGAATGTGTCTGCTAATGAAATTAATGAGAAGATCTTTATAATTTGAAATAACGTATTTCCAATAGTACACCATTTCGCATGTACTATTATTCTATGCATATTTTCTTCACATTGCGTTATGTGTCTAGGTGGAATGGTAAACGGAGGAGGTGCAACGCCTGGGGGCGGAGCTGCTGGAGCGGTACTAACGGCGAATGCACAGAAAGCTGCGGCTGCGGCGGCCGCAGCGGCTGCTGCTGCCGCGGCTGAACCCATGTTTATATCGGTACCACCTAGGCCGCAAAGGGTACTACATTCGGAGGCTTACATAAGGTGTGTATTCGAAACTTTTTATATAATTTTTATACAATCGAAAAACCAAAACGAACATAGCTAGTGGCTGACACAGATTTCCAGATGCTGTTATTGTGACCAGCTGGTACCACTAATATGTCACGGTACCAACAAAGAATAGTTATACTGCGTGATGATAGATACGAGGGTGGTCCCAGAAGTACCCGACCCAACGAAGAAAACACAAAATTTTTGGAAAAAATGTATCTATTCTTCAACATAATCTCCTTTGAGAATATGGAAAAAATATATGACAACATAATAGGAAATATGAAAACTTGTTTAGATCTTGCAACTGATAAAAAAGTGATTTGCTCGACAAATAGTATAACAAGAATATTAAGGCAGCTCAAAATTTGAGAGACAAACAATACAATAGATGTATATTCACAAAATTAAATGATGATTGGGAGGTATATAAAACTCTTAGGAATAAATGTGTATATGTAATTAGAGAAGAAAAAAGGAAATTCTACGATAAACAAATCGATAATAACAAGTGCGACAGTGTAAAGATGTGGAAGACTTTAAAAAGACTGATCAATTCGAAGCCGCATGATTGTGTAAATCAAGTTCAATTCGAAAACGGTACCGAAACAAATTCTTTGGTGATTGCAAACAAACTAAATGAATATTTTGTGGAAAGTATTGTTGATATTGTGGGTACTGCCAATGCTGCACCTGACTATATGAAAATCAGTTTCCAGGGGGAAATGTTGCATACACTTTCAAAATTTCACAGCGTATCATTGAATTATCTAAGAAAAAAGGTAAACAGTTTAAAATCAAATAACAACTGTGCCGAAATCACTACTAAAAACGTGCTGAAAAACTATTTCGAAATTTTGGGATATCCTGTATTAAATTTGATCAATTGTTCACTGAGAAGCAGTTCTTTTCCTGAAAATTTGAAATGCTCTACAATAATACCAGTTCCCAAAATAAAAAATTCTAAAAGATGCAGCGATATGAGACCAGTAAATGTGTTACCAGACATTGAAAAATTATTAGAGTCCATAGAGCATGACCAATTAATGCAGTTTATAGAAGAAAACAAAATTTTAGTGGAGGCGCAAGAAGGCTTTCGAAAAAAATATTCCACAGAAACGGCTTTCCAGTTGGTAACTGAGAATTGGAGAAGAGCCATAGACTCAGAAGAAGTTGTCATAGCAGTATTTTTGGATTTGAAGAGGTCATTTGAAACGATTGATTGTTTTAGATTGGTTTAGAAATTATTTGTCTAAAAGGATGCAAGTTACAAAAGTTAATGACACTATTTCATCAAAAATTGAAAATACGTTGGGTGTTCCACAGGGCAGTATCCTGGGACCACTTCTTTTTATTTTTTACATAAATGATTTACCTGCCATAGTCAAAAAATGCAAAATTCGGATTTTCGCCGATGACACTATGATTTATATAAATACTAAAAATATTCAGTCTGGTATCTCTTATATAAATGAAGACTTGAAGCTTGTCTCAAAATGGTTAGCATCTAACAGACTAAAATTAAATGCAAGTAAAACGAAAGCCTTGTTAATCGGAAAAAAAACAATGTACAAATGTTCAACTGAATATTAATGGTGAAGATATTGAATTCGTAGAAAATTTTAAATACCTGGGGGTTTTAGTTGACTCTCGATTAATTTTTGATATTCATTATGAAAAAGTTATAAATAAGATTAGTAGTAAAGTGGGATATTTATCGAGAGTTTCTGGATGTCTGAGTTCATATAGCAGAAAAATTATCTATAATACCATCATTCTTCCAAATTTCTTGTACTGTTCGACTATTCTATATTTAGCAAATAATTCCATTTTTGAAAGACTGCAAATTTTACAAAATAAGTGCATGAGAATAATACTAAATAAAGATAAATATACTCCAATTAGGCAAATGCTTAGCAAATTAAAATGGCTCAATGTAAAAAATTTTATCAAATATCTTGTAATGATATTCATTTATAAAGTAAAAAATAATATATTTCCATCAAGTCTAACTAATTTAACATCATCAAATGTCGACCATCATTTACATAATACCAGAAATAAAGATGACTTCCATTTAATGACCAAAAAGTATAACATATGCTACAAATCTGTATTCCATCAAGGGTTGATTGAATATAATAAATTATACTCGGAGATAAAAGACCAGAAAACTTTGACAAAATTTAAAGTAAAATTGAGAAATCACTTGTTAAATCTACAATTATAGGTTGCCCAGCATTTACATCATACACCATATGGCTTGAATTTACTAGTTCTAAGTTGTTTACAATTATTCTGTTTATGTAGCCAAATGTGCTAAATAAATCTTTCTACTACTACTACTACTACTTTTCCCAGCGATGTTCAATAAGTTCGATACCCTTTTTATAGTAAGAACTGTCTTGCTCCTCAAAATAGCCATTAAATGCCGACATCACTTCTTCATCGTTGGAAAATCTTTGACCACTGAGCCATTTTTTCAAGTTTGTAAACAGAAAATAATCCGAGGGGGCTGAATCTGGTGAATAGGGTGCATGAGGTAGCAATTCAAACTTTAATTCGTTAATTTTGTCCATTGCAATAACGGATTTGTAAGCTGGTGCATTGTCTTGATGAAACAACACTTTCTTCTTGACCAAGTGCGGCCGTTTTTGCTTGATTTCATCGCTCAAACGTTGCAATAAATTCGCATAATACTCGCCGTTGATAGTTTTACCTTTTTCAAGATAGTCAATGAAAATTATCCCACGCGCATCCCAAAAACACCGACGCCATAACCTTGCCTGCAGATGAAACGGTCTTCGCCTTCTTTGGAGCCGGTTGTCCCGTTTGAGTCAATTGTTTTGATTGTTCTTTTGTCTCGGGTGTGAAGTGATGGACCCATGTTTCATCCATGGTTATGAAACGATGTAAAAATTCTGCTTTGTTGCTGTGAAACTTCGCTAAACACTCAATCGAAACATCTTCACGACACTGTTTTTGCTCGATTGTGAGCAATCGCGGCACCCATCTTGCACACAGCCTTCTCAAGTCCAAATTTTCAGATAATATGCGATGAACTGCACTTTTTGAAATGCCTACTATGTCTGCTAGCTCGCGCACTTTCAGTCGACGATCATTCAGCACCGCTTTGTGAATTTTCTTCACCATTTCTGGAGTCGTCATCTCATTTGATCGACCACTGCGATGCTCGTCTTGGCAGCTCATACGGCCTCGTTTAAACTCTGCTACCCAATATTTTACTGTTGTAAACGAAGGAGCAGACTCACCCAGAGTAGAATCCAGTTCAGCTTTTATATTGGTTGGGCTGAGGCCTTTGAAATAAAAGTATTGTACCACATAACGATGACCAATTTTCTCCATTTTCACAAATTCACTGAAAACGTTCAGTATTGATGGCTGCCAAACAAATACTAAACAACGTGGCGTCTTCAAACTTGACACATATGCTTTATAGGTTGCATGCTTTCTAATGCAATGATATTTTTCAAACAAATATCGCCATCTCTAGGTCAGGCCGGGTACTTCTGGGACCATCCTCGTACTTTTGGGTATCATCGGCGTAGGTCGTCATTTTACAATTTTTAACATCTTTGGTCAACTTTGAGGTATAAGGTGAATAGTAGTGTCTCTAAGACAGGACCTTGTGGTACGCCAGATTTTATAAGCTCAAGTGATGAAATTTTTTCGCTTAATGAAACTTTTTGACTGTAACAAGTGACAAATATTATAAAGGTGACGCATTGATAAGCTTTGAAATCCAGTGTGGTTGCGGCTGATACTATTCTAATATCGTGGATTTCAATAAAAATTAGAGAAATACCTTTTCTTTGACCTACAGGTACATAGAGGGGCTGCAGGCAGAATCGAAACACATAAGTAATTGGGAGCGACAGCTTCAAGCGACTCAAGAGAACACCCCGGCGCCAGATCCAGAAAAGCTGCACCAAGTCGCTACATGGCTGGGTAACAAAAGGGATCAACACGATAATGTTGTTGCAGCACTGTGGACGCTGCGTAATCAGCTCCTTAAAGATACATTGGGACTTCACAAAACTTGTAATTAGTACCATTGGGCACTATATTGTATCTATGATTGCAGTATCAGAGCACACTGATACATTTTTGAGGTGCGACGAAAAGTGTTGATGTGATAAATAGATTCCTAGCACAACTTGTCCAGGGAAGGTCTTATGGACCTTTGTATCTCCAAATGTCGTCTTGGTGTGTCAATAGCACGCTATATTGAAAATGGCTTTTGAATTCATGCTATAAGCGATGTCCACCCTTGATGGATGTGAGGTATGCATAATAACCTATGAGTTTGAGTTGGCAAAAAATATTTTCGAGTTTTTAGATAAAAATCACTAATTGTGGACATTTGAAGTATTTATTCTCTGTATAGTGAAAAGTTGCCGATTCAAAGATTTTTTTTTCGTGTTGTGAATACAGTAATTCGAGTCTATACATATGAAAGTTCGTTGAAAACAAGCACAAAATATGTCAATAACAAGTTTGAAACACAAAATACACTACGCCAACACGAAACACCTCCAAAGCGCATGGAATTAAAGGTTATGTTTCACCCACATCCGAAGCACGTGACGTCACGTGGACATTACCTATAGGGTCTGGTACAATGTGTAAGCTATTTCATGTTATTTTTCAATAGGCGTCAGTCGAGAATATCCAATAACTTTACTCTTTAGTATTGCTAGCATATATGTATGTACATTTTGATAAACTTAATAAATATCCTGGCTGATTCTAATGGAATAAGTACACTTCTGACAGGTTCTAGGTGGTACCAGACCATAAACTGTGATAACTTTAATGCTATAGCAAAGAAGCAAAATAGTCTAATCATATTGGCAAATTTCTCCGAAATACTTGTGAAGTCCGGTGTTATTGGTGCAAGATGTTCAAGGGGGTATTTGAAACATGGACGCATAAAATGGGTAAACAAATTTTTGTGGGAAAACTTTTTATTTGAAAACAAAAAATGAGACGTGTTTTTTGGAATTCAATCGAAAGTGTTGACAGGAACGAAAAAACTTTTCATATAAGATTTTTAGGTATTAATGAGACCTACAAAGTGATACCACACGTAAATAGATCCGACTAATAGCAAAAATGTTATGGCCGAAAAACTAGGCAAAATGCAGGTTTTGGCATTTGTTGGTAATGCGACGATAATTTCCCGCAACTACTTGAAATTCTTCAAATCCGTAGGATTCATCCTTCTAAATAAGAACCATAAAATTGGAGTAGTTTATCCCAAAACACCTGTTTTCCGGCCATCACTACTAGTTTATTGAGTAATATAGAGGATTCGTTCAAAGAGCATTTAATAGCAAAGTACACTAGTTTACCTTGCCGATATAAATCACAAACCATTCCGAAAGATAAGTGTTACTTTTATGCGAAAAAAAAAGGTTACGTTTTTTTCTTCTAAACAAAATCAAAAATTCCGTATTTGTGAGCAATTGAACAAATGCGCTACGATATTCGAAAAACATACGTTGCTATACACATTTTAAACAAAGCGGATGTGTCTATCATCTTTTGTTGCAAATTACTCACAAATACGAAGTGTTTGAATTTGTTTAGAAGAAAAAACGTAACCCATCCTTTTTTGCATAAAAATAACTTTATCTTCCGGAACGGTTTGCGATTCGTATCGGCAAGGTAAACTGATGTATTTTACTATAAAATGCCGTTTGAACTAACCCTGTATATTGCTCAATAAACTAGTAGTGATGGCCCGAAACCGTGTTTTGGTGTAAACAATTAGAAATTCTCAAAAACCACTTGACCAATCTACTCCAATTTTGTTGTGGTTATTTAGAAGCACGAATCCTACAAATTTGAAGAATTTCAAATATCTACGAGAAACCCTCGTTGCAATACCAACAAGTGCCAAAACCTGCAGTTTGCCTCGGTTTCGGCCATAACTTTTTTGTCGGATCTTTTTACGTGTGGTCTCATTTTGTAGGTCTCAAAAATTATATATGAAAAGTTTTTTCGTTCCTGGTCAACACTTTCGTTTGAATCCCAAAAAGCGCGTTTTTCATTCTTCATTGTCGAATAAAATTTTTCCCGCAAGAATTTATATACCAACTTTGCAGCAATAAAAGCAGACCTAACAATTATTTCGCAAACCAGGGGTATTTTAGTATAATATGATTAGACTAAATGGACATTTTTGTCCCAATGTGGAAGTGGATTATAGTATAGAAGGTTTGAACTTCGACACGATAAAAGATGAAAGTTGCTTAAAGCAACATCGCTATACTTACAAGAGACTCGTAACAAAATGGAGATGACTTTCATTTTAGCACCTGAACAAATTGACTTACACTCAATATGGCGTGCTACTAAAAATCAGTTTCATGATCTTAGAAACTCGATTGTTTTGAGGCATGTCTGAATGCTACAAGACTTTGCAAACTGGTCTTAGATGTGTCAGACTTATAGGCACGATAACTGAAAAACCTCAATAATACATAGGGGTACAAACGAGAAGTAATTCAAAGGTTATCTAATATGCATCTCATATTGTAATTTTGAAAATGATCTCCACCTTCCATCCCATAAAAAATCACTAGGTTTGAGATATTTGATTTTGGAAGTAGAGACCATTCAGCTTTGCTTCAATTGTTTACAGCAAAGGTCTGTAAACTAAATAAACTGTTCTCTCTTCCCTTACATACCAGACTACATTGAAAACTTGTGCCAAAAATAATTTTTGAATTCACTTTGTGATTTGCCAACGTTTTGTATTCACTGGCTATGTAAATATATCATCCACATTTGCAATTATTTTATTGGAATAATACCATATGTACAATTATCCCACTTTCAATTGTCAGTAAACATAATAGGTTTAAGCTGAGAGTGTTTTTATATTGCTATGAGGTTTTTAGTTGTATATTTGATCCAATGGGTGGTCAAAGCACATTTGACTTTTGGATGCAAGTTTTCAATCTCGTGTAGTATACCCTTTAATTTTCGTTAAGGGAGCTTTGTTAAGGTGTATTTATTATGTATCGCATTATCTTGTATGATTTTTTAATTTTATAGGAACATATAAAATAGGAATCATTTTTGTTTTATATTTTGTAAAAATAAATACTTTACAAGAGAAATGGGTTCTTTCTTTATGCTTCTGAGAGTAACTCTGTGTAATTAACTCTCCACTCTTGACGATTGTTCTTAGCAGTTTTCAAATATTAAATATAAAGGGTGTAAACGTTAAGGTAGACATTATTGAAATGGGTAATAGGGGGGGGGGTCAAGTTAAAAAGTTCATATGACCCATGTTCCAAAAGTCAGTAACTAAGTTTCATTAAATTAAATATTTAAAACACACATGACAACAGCGCGTCGGTCATTCATCACTCTTATCGAACCGGCAATCGATCGCAAACGATAACAGTGGTTAGTATGTTGTTTTGTTATTGTTCGCGTACGTCCTCGTGTTTATTTACGTTCTCGAATCAAGAGTTCGCCGACATGTTAGTTTACGGTGAAGATCGTCAGAATTCGTATCTTGCAGCTCAAATTTATCGCGACAGATTTCGCCAACAGGTACACCCAGACAGAAGTACATTTGTGCAAGTGTACCAAAGACTTCGAAAATTCAGGAAGTATTCAGCCCACTAATATTCGCACTCGTGAAAGACGTTATTGTAGAGCAGGAGGAACAAATTATACATATCGTGGAAATCAATGCAGATATAGTCAGAATCACGAAAGATGAATATTACGTTATACCACAAATTGTATTGAAGTAATCAATGGACGTACCTCGATGATAAAATCACGACGTCAGGAATAATGACAACAAATTTATAATATGATTTTTCGAAGTTAGGTTATTTCACCGATTATTTTTATTTTATTTCATGATTTTGAGTAATAATCTTCGTGTGGAGTTTTTGTTTTGAAAAAACAGTTATGATTAGAATACATTAAGACAGAAACAAAAGACCAAAGTATTATTCGAAAACAACCTAACCTGCTTTAACATAAGCTATCTATACATCTGTCAAAAATGATCGATCATGCGACATGGAAACATCGTCTATCTTTGTCGGATTAATGCATATTAGCAATACAGTTTGTTTAGACAATAAAATTATGTTTGTCTCTGTCTAGCTTATCTGAAACTTCATTAAAAATATTCACAAATCGCTGTCGTTTGTCTTTACTACAGACTAAAATGATCACGTAATCGTCATCTTTCGTGATTTCGACTATATCAGCACTAGGGAATTAGGCCGCCGCGTAGGACTACCGCATACCATAGTCTATAGAATCCTACGGGAAAATTTGATTTATCCCTCCAATGTACAACGAGTGCATGCCTTGTTACCAGAAGACTATCATCGCAGACTAACATTCTGTCAGTGGTTTTTGCACAAAAACATTGAAAATCCGGATTTTTTTAAAAACATTCTAGCGACGGACGAATGTACTTTTACGCGAGACGGGATATTAAATTTCCATAATACTCACACGTGGGCCCAAGAAGATCCTCATACCATTCGTGAAGGTCATTTCCAACGTTTTAAAATAAATATTTGGGCGGGTATTCTTGACGATCAGGTAATTGGCCCTTTCAAGTTATCCCCAAAGTTGTCAGGAGAAGGATACCTTAGCTTTCTAGCCAATAACCTACCAGAACTTTTGGAACAAACCTTAGACAACATGCCATTACAACGAAGACAGAATTTGTGGTGTCTTCATGACGGGGGGTACCACCACACATTTTTAGAGGCGTCATTCAGTATTTGAATGAACATTATCCAAATCGCTGGATCGGTCGAAATGCTCCTGATCCTCGAAAATGGCCAGCTAGATCTCCGATGGATTTCTGGTATTGGGGAGAACTTAAAGGGATGGTTTATGGGGCTGGTCCAATAACAACTGAAGCACAACTTAGCGAAAAAAAAAATGAATGCGGCTGAAATAATAAATGGACAACTTCGAGGACCTAGCGTAAGAAGAAACTGGGTTCGTCGTAATTAAGCTTGTGTGGAAAGTGGAGGACGACATTTTGAACACCTTCTTTAAATACAAAAAAATGTGCAGTGTGGGTTTTAAAACGAAAAACAAGTTCTGTATCAAAATTGCGTTCCCTATTTGTAAGTGGATTTTTTTAATACGTTCAATAAACTTTCACACACCAGGTGAAGCGCTGAGACAGTTAGTGGTAAGTCCGTTTTTTTAATTGTTTGCATTTTACGAGTACATTATCAAATAATGAAATAATACCTAAGAGCCTGTAATAACAAACTCCATCTTTATTTACACTGCGTTCCGTCGTAATTTGCGTCTCGCATTGCGGCGTTGTCAGATTTTATTTTACTTCAAGTCGCTTTTCTCTAAAAAAATGCCGTTTTGACCCCCATGTTATATGAAACTTTTTGCTTCTTAACCCGCTCTATCACCCATTTAAATAATGACTATCATAACGTTTACACCCTGTATAACAAAAGTGTAAAATCATCTAAGGCGCTCCGATCTTAAGAAACCTTCTCAGCCTAAGATAGTAAATAGGTAAGTTACAGTTGTACCTTACATTTTTTTTCACAAATCACTATCACCTGATAAATTGATATTCGTCTTATTAACGGTTTGCGTTACTCAGCTCCGACCGCAAAACACTCTCAATAATACGAGGTTTTAGTGTTACTGTCGGTAAGTCCGCTCGAATTCTGGTCTATCCTGTTGATAATACTGACTGACATCGTGATTAGCTAATTTCATCGTGACCGACTTGCCAATCAATTGAAGGGTCGGCCGGAACAACGTTGTATATAACATTTTTATATAAAATGTGATTTCCGTAAAACAACGTAGTATGTGCCTATTGGGACCCGTTGACAACATAGACCCACCAGTTTACTCGCGTCAATCACTGTGACGCGTGTTTGTAAAGCGAGCCATTTCAGTCTTCCGCGTAACAACGTTGTATGTACGTAAGCAAAAAATAATATCTATGGTTTATGAACCATTCCAGTGGGTCAATGTCATTGCTAAAGCCAAAGTTAAAAATCCTTTTAAAGTTGTCTGGATGCACCAAGCCTTCTTTGAGAATTTAACAGGTTTGGAATGTTGTATATGGAAATACCCCAAATGTAAAATTACACAAGGATTGTGGCTGCAACTTACCGCTGATTCTCCAGCTACTTTGAGAATGAGAAAATCTCAAAATATTATGCAGCCCAGGAATTCATTTCCCATAAGCAATCGTAAAAGAAAAGAAACAATGACTTTTGCCACTGAAATCATATCATCTGAAAAATTACCTATAATGTATCAGAACCTTCTTCCAATCAAAGATGAAAAATTAAAAAACCTTGAGGATATGAGTGATTATATTCCGCTTATGTAACATTTTATGAGAAATTAACTGCAACCCAGTAATATTTATTTAAGTTTCAGTTTTGGTTTCGAAACACGTTGATGAACTTAGAACTTTTTTTTTGTTATTAAAAATATGTTACTGTGTACTTTGGTTCCCTTAATAAATAGAACTGCTGAAATTACTTGTTTTGCTTGTAGTCATTTAAAGCCTCCCTGTAACAACGTTGTAAGTAACGCGATCATACAACCTTGTTACATGCGTTTTCCATAAAAATGGTTCCCATAGCTGCAAAATATTTATCACATTTTTAAATTACAATAACCTTGTATAAATATTGTTCCTTTATTGTGCTGGCCAACTATAGACGCAGTCATTTGAAAAAATGGTTCAAATTTGTTTTTCTTAATTTCGGCCACTGAGTTGTTTTGTTACATACAACGTTGTTCCGGCCGGCCCTTCAGTTAATGTATTTAACTAGTTACCTAATTACGTTCACTAATTAATAGCAATAACGGTCAACTTACAGCGCTGTCGGTTGAGGTTTTCTAGGGGTTTCCCTCGGCCAAGGGCGAATACAGTCACTAAAAAACCATATTCCATTAATAAATATTAGAGAAAATGAAAATCATAGTCTCCTATTGAAGATCATATAATTTTAGATGAAATAGTTGTTGAATACTCGTATATTTACATTGTTTTTTCCAACTGATGGGAGAAGTGACGTTAAGCAACGTGGCGTTGAGCTTCGCTATCCAGCCGGCTTCTATCACTTTCTAACATGTCCCTAAACACACTTCTTTCTCGTACACATTGAACACAACCTGTCAGACAAATTTTATTTTCGGTGTACGAGTAGATGACTCGTTGAGTAGTACGTGTTGGTACTACGGGGTCGCCAGAAAAATGTCAACGGTGACCTATTTACCAGGCGTACGTAGACAGATCGTGAAGTGGAGTGGGAGCGAATTTAATGTGGAAAATATATTGCTTGAGGAAGAAATCTCTGAACCACATGTGGATATATCATATTCAAAATCTACACACCTGATTTACCGAGAGTTTTTGTATAAATTACATTTGCATAGTTTTTGAAAATTTGCTCAAAGGAAACCTCAAAATATAGGCAAGCAAGTAAAAATTCCATTTTTTTCCATTCCAGTTCTTAAATGCAAGCGAAGATAATTTGGTACCATGAATTCAGTCGTACTTTTCGCCGAACTAAAATCCCAATTCACCTATGCTTTCAAATGGATGTCTCAGGTTTGAAAACAAACAATTGTTAACTATATCAATACTATATTGCAACAAATAAAACTTAACAGAATCAGGTTTTGTCTTTATCACTAGGACTTGGTGGAGGTAGCCGTTTATTACTGGGTGCAGGCAGCTCTTTTCTTATTTGTTTAATTATCTCAACTCTAGGAAGGCTAGGACCAGCAAATTTTGCTTTTACTTGTCTCTCTTGTGGGATGTAGACTTCAAACACTCTGTAGTATTTCAATATATTCTCTGAAACAAGGTTATTTGCACTTCAAGTATTCAGTATACAGTATTCAATTTTTTGTGTTTTGGGATGTCTGTTCCTGTTCCGAAAATTGCATGAAAAGGGGGCTTATACTACAGAAATTAACTGTATTAGATATACAGTGGATCCCCGATAATCCGGCCCGTGTCTAATCTGGCGCCCCCTGTAATCCGACATGTATTTGAATATGTATTACATACATACGTATTTGACAATCTTCGCTAATGTAGATCACGCAGGTTTGAACAGGTTACAACGCGCCACCGCTATCGTGCTCGACGCGTAAGCATTGTTTTACTTAGTTTGAATTTGACTACTGGTGATAGCGGTACGGCCTAGCGTGCGTTCATTGTTTACTATTTATTCATTGTGTATTAAGTATAGTACCTAGTAATGTCATCAGAAGCGAAAGCACAAAACATTGACAAAAAGACCGCTTAAATCGCAATGAAACTTTCAGTCGTTTAGCAAGTGAATATGAATACGGCCTAGGCCGATCTACAATTTATGACATTAAAAGAAAGCACAAGAAGATCAAAATATCGTGTCGACTACTGATTGCGGGCCAGGCAAGAGACAGACACTCAAGAAAGCAGAACATCCAGAAGTGGAAGAAGTTTCTTCAGGAAAGAAATAGGCATTCACCAATTTCAGGACCCATGTTGGCCATGAGAGCTAAGTTTTTTTATAAGGAAATAACAAAAAAATATGATTTTGTGGCCAGCAAAGGATGGCTAGAACGTTTTAAAAGTCGTCATGGCATATGTTTAATGAGTATTACAGGAGAGAAACGATGCCACCTGCATAGAGCCCTTCAAATTAAGATTTTTGCAAAAGGTGAACGATTTAAATCTTGACCGGTCACAGGTGTACAATGAAGATGAATCAGGGCTTTTTTGGCGTGTGATGCCTAACAAAACTTTCGTTTCTTGTAACGAAAAATCCGTACCTGGACGAAAAGTAAGTAAAGAGCGTGTAACCATACTACCATGTGCTAACGCTGCGGGCACACACGCGCTTAAGATGATGGTCATTAGGAAATCTAATAAACCACGGGCATTCAAAAACATTGATTTACCTGTACACTATTACATACAAAAAAGTGCATGGATGACAAAAGACCTTTTCAAAAAGAGGTTTGATGAATGCTTCGTACCTGAAGTTAGAATATGGTTAAAAGATCATAATTTTCCTCAAAAGCGTTGTTGCTTCTTGATAACGCTCCCGGTCATCCGTCTGAAGAAGAACTAACAACTGAGGAGAAATGCATCACTGCGATATTTCTTCCGCCAAATTGCACTGCACTCATTCAACCAATGGACCAGAATATCATTCAGTTTGTCAAGCAAGACTATAAGAAAAAACGACTTCTGAAAGCCGTATCAAAAGACCAACCAATAGAAAAAACTTTAAAAGAATTTAATATGAAAGTCCAGAAGATTTGGAAATCTGGTGCTGTGGAATGGATAAAGAGGAAAATGTTTTTCATGAAATGTCTGATGAAGAGATTATAAAAGAGGTTTCTAATTATATAACAAACAATCAGGAAAATAACGACGACGTGATTGCAACTGCTCCACAAGTCACAGCACAAGACGCAATTAACGCCTTTGAGCTAGGTTTACAATAGGCTGAAGAGAATGGTACATCCTACAACGAACTTTTACTTTTGAGAAGACTGAGGGACAAAGCTCTGATCTCGCGTTATAACAACCTTAAACAAAAAAAAAAAATTGATGAATATCTCCAAGCATCATAATTTGATAAATTCATTAATGATTTTGATTAATAATTCTTGATTATTTTGGTACATATGTATGCTTAATTTTATAATTAAACTAAGCTCTCTATTGTTATTTAATATTTACTAAATTCGACATACATAAACTATGTAAGATTTGTACTTCAAAGTACATTCATATACATAACATATATAATCTTAGCATTGGATATGTAATTTGTCAGATTACAAGGTACTCTTTTGTTAAAAATTCCGGACTATAGGGGATCTTAGGCAGTGCTCTATAATCCGACAAATTTGATAGTCCCACACTGCCCTGCATAATATTTTTCGGATTACAGGAGGTCCACTGTACAATCAAAAGTTATCATAGTGTTACATGCAGGTTTCCTATTTCTAAAAATAAATCCAAGTACAAGTTACCATATTAGACAAAAAACAAGATTTTAAATTTTTAGCTCCCAAAGCAACACTTGTAAGAGGTTCAACATGGTCAATCAATTAATAGTCTCAAAACTTACATTTGCCTTCTGAATGCTACAAAAAAAAAATCAACAACATGAAATAATAAATGTGGAAAGTCAAAAATGAACAAAAAGTTTGATCCCCTTTAATATGACTAACTTGAAAAACCAAAAAAAGCTGAAAATGATCAACATACTATAAATACTTACTATGTCTAAGATAAATACTTACAAAATTTTGTCTTTGACTATCTCGTAAAAACTAATCTGTAATTTAATTTAAAAATAAATGACTGTACTGTGTGGTTGTCTTTGAAGCTAATGGCTAGCAACAGATAAATAAGTGCTGAAAAGTGAGATTTAACATTTAGAAGACTTGATATCTTACAGACAAAAAAAAAATAGTAATAGATTTGGCAGGTTTGAAGGAGTAATTTTTTATCAAGCATAACCTGAGTGTATGATGATAGGACTTACTGATGGTGTTTTCTGGAATCATTGTATCCTCAGCAATCTTTTTAGCATTGTAGATTTTAGGATCATTTTGATGTAAGCTGATGAGCTCAAGGATGCCCTTCAATGATGATTTTCCAGCAGGGATACGTTCAGGCTCTTTCATACCATACAAAAATGGCTGAACTGTAGTCCGGTCAGTTGGAAGAGGTCGATCTGGGTTCTCATTCTTCTTATTTGGGATTTCGTCTGGCTACATTTTTAAAAAAGGCAGTGTTTGAAATTTTTTTCAGTATATAATAGTATGTTTATATTACGTTTGTAGATGTAACGTACACCTGCTTCAAGTGCTTATCCAATTCTTCATGTTTCTGCAGGCTCTCTTCATATTCTTTTGTGTGTTCTAGTGGAAGAAAAAGAATTATTAAGGATTTAAATTCTTAATATTAGTACGGACCTTTCATTAATCGTTCTATTTCTATTTGGTCTGTGTGGCGCCAGGGGGCCGGTTTGGGTTTCTCTTGAGATATGACTTTATGAGCTCTACTCTCCAGGTTGAAGTTCCTGAACGGATGCCTAATTGATGACAGTACTTTTCCCATTGTGCTGTCTATTTCATAGTAACTGCATTGAGATAACTTCATATATTTATATCAATAAAAATGAGAAGCACGTGTTGGTTAAAATCAGTAATAAAGTATCATTTTTCCTTCTCCCTAGAGTTCAAATTTCTGATAGTTACATCGATCATATTTGTCAAGTGTCAAACACAAAACATATCCACTGTCAAGCTTGACGTACGTCACTGCATTGATGATCGTACGGTAGATATATGATTCTTATTATAAGAGCAAAAGTGTTGCTGTCTTCCATCTTCCCTCCTTTAGTTCTCGGAATATAGTCAAAATCACGAAAAATGACTATTACGTTATACCATATTTTGCTCTGAAGTAATCAATGGACGTACGTCGATTATAAAACCACGATGTCAGGAACATAATGACAACAAATTTATATTGTGATTTTGCGAAGTTAGGTTATTGCACTGATTATTTTTATTTTCATTTTATTTCATGGTTTTGAGTGGTACCTTAATAGTAATTTTAGTGGGGAGTTTTTGTTTTGAAAAAAAAACAGTTCTGAGTAGAATACCTTAAGACAGGAACACCAAAGACCAAAGTATTATTCGAAAACAACCTAACCTGCTTTAACATAACCTAACTATTAATCTTTCAAATATGACCGATCATGCAACATGAAAACATCGTCTATCTTTGTCGGATACATGCAAATTAGCAATGCAGTTTGTTTAGACAATAAACTTCTGTTTGTCTCTATCTAAAAATATTCACAAATCCCTGTCGTTTGTCTTTACTGCAGACTAAAATGATGACGTAGTCGTCATCTTTCGTGATTTCGACAATACGAGTATATCAAAAAGCGGATTTAATAGAGGTTATATACATTGAGATCCATGCACTGAAATCCAAGTACCACAGATGTCGTATTGTGTACGAGAAAGAAGCGTATAATACGTATGTTAGAGAGAAACCGAAGCAGCTCGTCGTCCAGCAACCTGAGTACGAGGTCACGGATACCATCGGCGTACTCTTTCTAACATGTCGCACGCTTATCGCGCTTCTCTCTCGTACACATTACGACGTCAGCTTTATTTGAATCTCACCGTATGCCACTGACGTCGTAATGTTTACGAGAGAGAAACGTGCAATACGTATGTTAGTAAGCGTGTGCCGATGGCAACGCGGCAAGCCGCAGCTGTGTCCGTGGCCTCGTCACTCGGGTTGCTAGGCAACGTGATACTTCTAGCTCTCTTTCTAAGATACGTATTGCACGCTTCTAGGGCATCTCTCTCGTACACATTACGACATCAGTGGTTTATGGATTTCTCTGTATACCATATGCATCTCCACGGAGGTGTAATATTCGGCAATCCACCCTTTCTATGTCACAGCGTACCACGCCACTGCTTTTAAATGTTGTCTGTAACCTGCCAGAAAATAGTGTGGAATGCGGGTGTGTTACCAACAAAGCACGGGAAAAAACACCAAAATTTATAGATCAAATTTCTTAATATTCAAGTTTTTTCCAGAGCCATTCTCAAGTCTATGAAGACTTTTTTTCAAAATTTAACATTCGCTTTAATTCTCTACGGCTAATTATGAAAATTATACCTGTTTTACGAAAATGCATTTTAGAACTTAGTGCCGTTAGGTTGGCAGATTCTGGAATTTGACACTGTGTAAAATGGCTGATAATTGAATCCCAAATCTAGAGAATTTTCTTTGTTTTCATTAGGATTTTTCTTACATTTAGGACCTGTATAACCAAAATATCCATTTCACGTGAATCATTTCATCGCAGTGAATAGAATAAAAGTGAAAGATGCAGTGCCAGTGCTCTGAATCGCTGTAGAAGTTGCGGAAAGTGTTATTAAAATCCACCATATAGAATGAGATAGATTGACACTGGAGACTGTCACTCCTGGTTATAAGCAGATTATAAACGAATTTTGCATATTTGGAAGGTAATAACTGCAAATAAGCGTTTCAGGCGTCCACATATAAACGAAATCCATCGATATTTTACATCTGATAGAAGCCAAAGTCATGCATTGTAAGAGGAGCACCTTTGGTATGCATGAGACATGTCAGTTCAATTTGGCACATAACTAATGTTGCTTGAATCAAAAACCAGAGGTAAATTCCTTCGTGCTGACGACTTGCTGTAGGCCAAAATACCACAAAGAAATAGCTGTAATGATATCTGTGGCATTCCATATATTTCAGATAAATCTATTTAGAATTTATATACAGGGGGAAATAGAAGAATGTAATGATAAAATGTATCACTAGAATGTAGAAAAAATATTGAAGAATGATTAAAGGGTGCATTTATATCTAATTTTCCATCCATCTGTGCTTAATAATTTGAAGTATCCATTAAGAAAGAAATTAGTCAGCCTAAACATCAATTCAAAATATATCAACCTTTGTGTCTATTTTAGCAGGAATTTAAATTAAAATAAACTTATTCTCCAAATCTAATAAGACTACAGATATGTGTTTATAAGAGCTTATAATCAAGTATCATAATGTTACTTCCAAGTCAATACTGAAATTATTTTCTGTATTTATTTGATCAATCTTGCTTCCCTCTATTTCTGCTGCAGCAGCTGAAATGTCAGTAAATTTCATAATATGCATTGTTTCAATATTGGTCAGATGGGTTGGGTTGAAACCTTTTTTTTGATATAACAATTGTATCAAGTATTCTGTTGATATTCTAAAGCCAACAAAATATCTAAAAAATTAGGAATTATACATTTCTATTAGCCACCTTTGAAGCATTCCTGCAAATTGCTTAGTACTGTTTATACTATTATTATACCTCTATAATAGACAACAGAAGGTTGAAATTGTTGAAGGAGGTCAAACATTGAGTTGACTTCAACCAGCATAGCATAGGGTAGTATACTTGGGTCCATTTTGTTTGTAGTTTTTTTAAGTAATCTCTTTTTTGTTGCTAGTGGTGATGATAACCATAAAATTATCTTCTGTGCTGATGACACAAATTTAGTGTTTGGTGAGACAAGTGTAGAGGACCTAACTGCTAATGGGAATGTCTTATTCAGAAGTGTGAATACATAGTTTTTTTAAGATCAAACTAGTGCTGAATAAATCCAAAAATGATGCAACATTATTTAGAACTAAGTAGAGTTAAGCCACAATGTATCAATATAGATCAGGGCTGTCCAACTTAATGTGGCCCAAGGGCCACTTCAAAAAAAAAAAATGCAGTTTAGAGTGCCGCATTATAAAATCTTTCTATACAACATTATTACTGAGTTTCCATAGGTATATACTATACTATATTTGACATGTGATGTATACATGACCCGTGAGGTGGGCCGCAAGAAAGGAGTTCATGGGCCATATGTTGGACAGCCCTGATATAGATGATCAACTGCAGTTGAGTGAAAGTGTAAAATTCTTAGGCATCTATGTTGACGAATTTTTAGATTGGGCAACACATGTATTCAAACTTCTGAAGAGGTTTAATTGCATTTGCTATAGTTTTAGAGTAACATCAAATATATCTAAATAATTTGAGTATGACAATATGGATGGAAAAGTATGGGATCAATTTTGGGGGAACAATAGGTTTATTCAAAAAAATTTTGTTCAAAAAAGAGCAGTATGTCTGATAAAGGGACTAAATTTCAATGAAACTTGCAGGGGAGTGTTTAAAACTGAAAAAATCATGATTATGTATGCCATCTATGTGTATGAGTGTCTTATGTTTTTTTTTTCGAAAATAAATGTTTATTTGAGCTTGAGGTGCAAACTGTTTATGATCCTCGAACAGTTAATGTTAATTATCCAATACCCAGATTATCGTCCACATAAAAAAGCCCTATCTACATGTGTTTAAAATTTTTCAATTATCTAACACATGAAATTAAAAACAAACAGTTTATATAAATTTAAATAGACCATTAAGCAATTTATAGCACAATCAGAGCCTTATACCATAGATGAGTACTATGTGAGTTGTAATAATTTCAGATTGCAGCTGTTTTAAGATATATAACCATGTAACAAGAAACAAAAAGGTCTTAGGTAAACTTCTATAGTTACAGTGATAGTGGTGCAACATTTCATTTTGTAGTGGCTATACAATGTCATTGTACAATTTGAAATATAGATTATTATTATTATTACTATTTTAGATAGAAGAAACAACTTGAATGGTAGACTTCCGCTGATTTAAGCCTTCTGAAAGCATGTCTATACTTGCGTGCATGGTGGTTGAAGCATCACAACACAATGAGCCGAAATGGCAGGTGCAAGCAGGTTATTGAGCCTGACGGCATTGGAATTGAGGCGGGCGCGTGCCGCCCAGCATGGGCTACCAGCCACGCTGGGCACGCACCATACAACATCAATCAGCCAACCAGCATCAGTGCGCTTCGATCGGTCTACCACAGGGACTGCAGATTTCCTCAACTACAGCAACACTTATCAGACCTGAGGTAATGGGGGGTATTTTCCAGACAAATATCTATAACAATATTTTGCCTCAAAAAATTGACATCCGAGAGTTTTAATAAACAACTTTTATTCAAGCTTTCAGGCAAAGGTCAGATTTACATAAAAAAGAAAAATATTCACATGACTAAATTAGAATAACAAGGATAATAAGTTATAAAATAAGGAGCAATAATAGTTTGCTTGCTTAAATGTATAAATAGTTAAATAGAAGAATAGAAAAAGAATTCAGCATAAATGTATAAGTAAAATATCAATAAAATAGAATAAATATGTGATTATATAAAATGTATAACACTCAGGGTACAAGTATGTTAAGAGATGTTTTTGAAGACTTTCAAGTCATTTATGGCTTTTAATTTAGAAGATAAATTATTGAAGATAGATCCACGTACAGTAATGGACAAAAGTATATAGACAAATTAATATTGTGCTGTATTTCTTTATTAACTTGTTTTATTAATACACCAGCCTGTATACATAATTCGTCATAGCATAATACTCACTTATACATAAATAAATTCATTAGACTCCCTTCAATAAAAAATTAATTGAAAAAAACTGGAACTATGAAGGGAAAAAATATATAGACAAAGCAAAACAATTATAGAAAAAAGAAGCAAAATTCATTGAATTATAGAAAACCAATCATGTTTGTATTAATATTTTGTAGCATAACCGTTATTATCAATCACCGCCTGGCATTGTCTCGACATAGTTTGTAGAAGTTTCTTGATATAAGATTCATCAATCTGTCTCCACTTTTCGTATTTGCTTATCTAAGTATTTTCATAGATTTTCAATGGGGTTTATATCGGGAGACTGTGAAGGCCATTTGAGAACTGGTATTTTTTCATCCAGAAAGAATTTCTTTGCGAGATTTGAAGTGTGCTTCGGGTCATTATCTTGCTGGAAGATTGATCTTAAGGGCATATTGTCTTCCATGAATTGTTTAGTATGTCTGTGTATACAAACTTATTCATAATGCCATTTATTCTATGTAAAGGTCCTATCCCAAATCCCGAAAAGCACCCCCAAACCATAACAAACCCGCCTCCATGTTTGACAGTGAGCAAAGTGTGCTTGGGGTCAAACGTCAAATCATTTAATCTTCTACTTATAGTTTTCGTAGAAACACTGCCAATTCCTTTTGTCTCGATTTCGGCTTTTGTCTTGGGGTTTTAAACGGATCCTTGGACGAAATTACTTCATTGCATTTAGTTTACTAGGCCGACCACTTCTCTTAGAGGCTTCCAAGATACCTTTTTGTTTATATTTATTCATTATTGCCCAAACTGCTTTATGCTTCAGCTTCAAATTTTTGGCAATGTCAACTTGACATTGATCATCTTTGTATAACTCAATAATCTTCGTTTTCACATCGAAAGAAATTTCTGGAACACGCGCCATGGTCTTAAAATCACTAAACTTATTCCACAATACTTGATGAACACAAACTAATCCTCTTTTGACACAAAACTTCAATAAACTAATGTTGAAAAGAATTTGTCTACATATTTTTGTTCCTCATAAAAAAGTGCTTATATTCAGACTTATATTATGTTCATTGCAGATAATGTAAAAACAAGAAATTTAGATTTTTCTACTAATAACGCATTTGTTTATGGAGCAATGAAGTATGAATTCGTTTTCTAAAGGCATTTAGGTGAATATTCATATTTGTCTATACTTTTGTCCATTACTGTATGTAGGTAGTCAGGGCTATTATGGTATGTGCTGAGACTATACTCTCTAATGGTTGTGGATCCATCCTTTAAGCCAGGTGAGGGGTTTGCATAAGTTGTCTCATACATATTAATTTTGATGTGAAAAAAATCAAATTTAGTTTTTCACAGTTAGAAGCAGACGAAACTCTGTTCATTTAAGAAATTTGGAGCTGTGAATCATCTGAACATGTCCAAATGTCTCTATTTACAGTCAGGCTCAAAATTTGCTTAATTTTTCATTTTGCTTAAAATTCATTATAAACATTTCAAAAATGACAGAATAATGATTCTTTATAATTGGTATTTTTTCACACAAATGGTAAATTTAAAATAATTGACAACTAAAATCCTGTGTCATTTTATGTCAATCTTGTTAATAATAATAATAGCATTTATTGCCACAGACGCAGAATCCCTCCACAGAGCAATATAAAATAAAAAACTGTGCACAAGTATTTTGTGGCACTTTAGTTCCTTGAGTTCACAATTAAATATGCTGCAGTATCTTATTATTAAGATTAATAAGATCATACATCAATTTATAAAGAAATGGAAGGGATGACAGTGTCCATCTGAGCTCCACACTGTCAATGTTTTGTACATTTAAGATTTATTTAGCATGATTGCTACAATTACATTCTTTTTAAAAACTATACATACTAATACTCAAAAAAAAGAATTGCATCTCTAACTTTCACTGTCCAGGAAATCTTCCTTTAATTATCTTTTAAACATCTTTAAATTACTAGTACACTTTATATCATTATATAGTTTATTAGACTATAAGACCATGAACAGCCCTCTAAAAGTAATTTTTTGCAACTTTTGAAATAATGGTGATCCTTTAACTCAATATACGTAGTCATGCCATAAGTTCTGTCCCTCGTTTTCAAACAAGTGTAGACCTGTTAATACTTGTCCGATTGTTTACATTGTGGTGTCAGTTGATTAAGCGCTTTTCGGGTAATTACATATACCTCAGTTTGTATTGATCTCTCGAAGCATAACGATGGAGTGGGGCAAGGCAGAGAACCGTATTGCAGTGATAGCTTTACATAAGTGTAATCACAGTGCTAGTCAGATTTTTGAACTCTTACGCGGCCTTCAAATATCGCGTAAATTTGTGTCTAGGACCATTCAGCGGTACAATGAGACGTCCTCTGTTGATGACAGGCCAAGAAGCGGAAGACCTCGTCAAGTAAGGACTCCAGCAGCCATCAAAGCCGTAAAAGCCAGGATTCAAAGGAATCCACTCCGGAAGCAGAAGATCCTATCCAGGGAAATGAAGATTCCTGTCCGGACGATGTCGCGCATCATTAAACAAGACCTAGGGCTAGGGGCTTACCGGAGACGTACGGGCCAGCGACTTACGGCCACCTTGCGACACATCAGGGCGACAAGATCCAAGAAGCTCTTGGAGAGGTACGCAGCTGGGGGATTCCGAAAGATTTTGTTCACGGATGAGAAAATCTTCACCATAGAAGAAAAATTCAACCGACAAAATGACAAAGTGTATGCAAGGAGTTCACAGGAAGCTTCGGAGATCATTCCGAGAGTTGAGAGAGGCCACCACCCTGCGTCAGTCATGGTTTGGTGGGGGGTGTCCTACGAAGGGGTCACTCAGCTCCATTTCTGTAAACAGGGCGTGAAAACAAAAGCGGCAAACTATCAGAGCGACATACTGGATCCTATCGTCAAGCCTTTAAGTGGTACATTGTTTGCCAACCAACACTGGGTCTACCAGCAGGATTCCGCCCCCGCTCACAAGGCTAAGAGTACGCAGCGCTGGCTGGAAAGCAATGTGCCAGAGTTCATTGCTGCGGAAGATTGACCCTCAGGGAGTCCGGACCTCAATCCTTTAGACTACAAGTTGTGGGACCTGCTAGAGCAGTTGGCCTGCTCCAAAGCCCACCGTAATATCGAGTCCCTGAAAGCGGATTTGATCCGATCAGCGGCAGCTATTCCTTTGGAAGCTGTGCGTGCAGTGATAGATGAGTGGCCCGCGAGATTGAAGCAGTGTGTGAAGGCCAAGGGGGGACATTTTGAATAAAACTGTTTGATTATGAATTCTAAAAATGTTGTCGAATAAATAATATCTTTCATATAAATATATCTTATCTTGTTTCATTTTTATCATGAGATTATCATGGGACAGAACTTATGGCACGACTACGTACTATACCCAAATATTTAATCAATTCAACTTTTTCAATTATTTTACCATTTATCCCAACTGTGATAGTATTTTCATTCAAGTATTTTCCTATTAGCATACATTTTGTTTTAGAAGCATTCAATTTTATGTAATTCACATTTAACCAATTTATGATTTTTGTCAAGTCATAATTTAGCATCTTTAAAGCAGTGTCTATATTTTCATCTGAAATGTATATTAATGTATCATCTGCAAATATCTGAATTTTACAATAGTCTAAAATACCACAAATGTATAAAATAAATAGGACCCGATTTATTACCTTAAGGTACACTGAGAGAAATATTTGTTGAGCTGGATAATTAGTTTTGTAGAATTCTGAATACAGAACCTTTAAATCCATTGTGATGCACTTTTGTAGGTAATTTATCCCTGTCAATAGATTCAAACGCCCTGAAGTCCAAAAACACTGTCACTGTAAATTTCCTATTGCGTTTCAGTAGAGTGTTTCTTCCTAAATCCAGCTTGAAATTTGGTTAAAATTCTATTTCCCTCGATGAATTCGATAATCTGTTCGTAAATAATTTCTTTTTCAACATCTGGCAGAACATTTATTGGCCGCTTATTGTATTGTATACTCAGTTTCTTGTTCTGGATCTATGTGGTGCTTTTTAAACACTAGATATTTCAAAAACTTCCTTTGTAATTACTCCAGTCTTTCCTTGTAACACTGATAGTATGGGTTCCAGACATTCAAACAGTACTCTAGCTTAGAAAATTTCAATGTGGCTTCAGTATTATATGATCGACAATTTATAACAACTAATCCATACATTTTGTATCCATACATTGTTATGAAAAGCTATCTTGTTTGTTTTACCATTAAGTTATGAAACATCCGGTATACGTCAAAACAAGTTGAAAATATACACCTGTAATACCCGTGAAATCCATTTTGGATGCTTTTTAAGATGTTTTCATAAAATTGCTTTCCATTTTCATTGAGACACCTTGTATAAAATCTGACTCTATCAAATGAAGGGAGAAGACAGGTGGAGAAGCAGTATTCATCATTCAACCAAACAGCATCAGTGTGCCGCCGTTGGTCTACCACAAAGTGAAGAGAAGTGGAGAAGAGAGGGTAGGAAGCTAGGAGTGGAAGAAGCAGATATGCAGAATCACCACGGAGGAGGCGTCGCTCCAGGGCCTGGAGGAAATGCCTCAGCGACGACACCCAATGGTCCCCAGGTGGCTCTTCAGGCAGCTGCCAGGCCACCAGCATACATGCAGAAGGCTATGGAAGAAATCAAGGTAAAATAGTGATGACCCCTGATTAATAATGTCTTTGCCATCCTGTTATCTAAAATCTATGATGTGTGTAATATTCCTGATTTTTACAATAACTCTGACAAAACCCTTAAGATATAAGGATTCCGTATATTAATATATAACGTTTTTTCTCTAGAACTCTTTGAGGCCATTTGCAAAAGAATCTTGCATGGGAGGATCCAGCGCGGCAAGCACGATTAGCAGTTATTCAGCAACCAGTGGTCTAGGGTCGTCTCTTAGTAGCGCTACATCTAACAGTAATGATGTTGCTCAGCTTAGGCATCTGTTCAATATGGGATATGTTGATGTAAGTTTTTTATAATCAAATCAGATGTTTTAAAATAGTTTTTGTAAAATCTACTGCTCTTACGTTCAGGTACCAGGAAGTGGAGACAGGCCTTCAGGCTACACGAAATTGATGAGAAAAGCGAGCGTGGAAAGAGAACTACCGGCTACAGCAAGGGGAAGTCCAGCCTTAGACAGTGGAGCTGCAAGTACCAGATCCGATTCACCAAGGCTCACTGATATACATTCTACCATCAGCAGGTAACTTACCAAACTACGTTTGAGGAACTTTGTTTTTTATTTGTTGTATTATATATTCTTCTGTTTAATGCCAAGATAAACTATACTCATAGTTAGATTAAAAATCGTCTGTTAAACATGGACGACAGCAAGTATCAGGCAACGTTCGGACGGACCACTGACTAATAAGAAATGTAGACCTAACTACATACATTTATTTTCTCTTCAGCAGGTACTCTCCGAGTTTCGCGGAACCGCCTCCGCCGCCGCCCCCGCGCAACACTCCGCCACCCCCACCGCCACCTCATTGCGGTACAGCCGGCGGGGGCGGCGCCGTGACGGCAGTTTCAGCCCCGCCCCCGGTCGTCGTCCCTAGCAACGTGCAGCAAATGTTCAAACGGATGTCGCCGGCGCCGCCTCCGATCGTTCCCGCGAGGGGCGGCCAACAGTCTGGCTCAGTGCCGGGGGTGGGCGTGGTCGCGCAACCCCAGTCGCCTGCTGCTGTGGTTTACTCGACGCAAGGTAAGAAAACTGTATTGTTCGTTAAATATTAAGCTGGTTGATTAATTACGTTGACACCATACCTAAGCTAGATGCTGAGATAATATCTCCAAGCAAATGAACGCATATTTCATGTAAATGTCCACACCGCGCGCTAGGAAGAATGTTAGGCGCTTCGGTTGTCACTATACCTGTATGAGAGTTAACTTACGTTTCTGTTTTGTTCAGTGTCAATCCTAGACACATTTGAGAAGAAATATTAGATCAACTGTAATAACCAGTAATTGCACGAATTATTTGTGGTACTTGGTCGTAGTTGTAACTTGAATGCAAATGTGGAAGTCCAGACAAAAATTAAGGCTGATGCCTTCACAATTAGCACTCTTACATTGTTTCAATATGAGCAAGACTCCAGGCGAACATTTTTAAAATGACATATTTTACAGAGAAACATCAAAAGTTGCGTTGCTGACAGTTTGAACAGCATTCCTGGAGTAGCTAGGAGTTACTTAAAAAAATGTTATATGTTCCTCACTTGAAGGAAATAAGTTTTTTGCTTATTTTTCTTGTCTGTTTTTTCTTTTAGATGGAATCACCTACTTTTTGTATGTTTTCTATTTTTGTTAGGTTGATTTATCTTTTCTTGGTTGTACTGTGATGTAAATGGTTTCGTTAATTGTTAGGCAATAAACGCTATTAATTAATTAATTAATTTATTTACTTGAACAGTTCAAAAATCGGATTAACAAATTGTCTTTGAGCTCCTTATAGCTGTCCCGTTGCCTCGGTATTTAGGCTTATGTCTATGTGGGTATACAAAAAAAAGATTATTCTCGACATATAAAAGTGTGTTATAGCTTTTAGACCCTTCAATTTGACATCTTATTACAGGTTCCCTCTAAAAGTTATTTAATATGAGTGATGTCTTCTCTGATGATGGATAACATGACTGACGACGATTTTTTTAATTTTTCCTCTTAACATGGAGGATAAATACAAAAATATTGCTTGTATATTTGGTTGGTTTTTAGGTTGTTAGGCCGTCGTAAAACATTTTTATTTGACGCTTCGCCAACACTAGTGGTTGGCATCTTCCGAAATGTTCACAGTTTGGAGTCTTGTGAGCTACTGAGTAGTAGCTCAACCAGCCAAATAACATTGGATGATGACCGCGAAAGCCTTTCGCGTTTGATTGCTTCTAACGGGTGATTTTTTAAGTGTTTTTAGTGTTGTCCCACTTCTACTTTGCTGATTCGGTATATGGCCCATTTCTTGATAGGGTTCAAAAAGCTCAGAATTCTTGTCTGAGATATTTGGCATAAGGGGTAGACAAAGGGTATCCCACAAACTACCTGAACTGGGATGGTTGAATATGGCTCAGAGGCGTACCTTGCACTCTGCTTCCCTTTTTTACAAGATTATAACGGGTGATTTTTTAAGAGGTATAGGATTTGATTTTCAAAAAAAAAAACAAAAAATTAGAAAAAACGATTAAATCTTTGAGTCGATAGAACGGTCGATATAATTTAATGTTTAAAGATTATTTCATGTAAATGTTGGCCGCGGCTCCGCTTTAGATGGCCCATACGCAAGGTCCAATTTTGGCACGCTCTCTCCAACATATCGGCCGGTATCTCACGAATAAATGCTTCAATATTGGCTTCCAGTGCGTCAATGGTTGCTGGTTTATTCCTGTAGACATTAGCCTTAACATGGCCCCACAAGAAATAGTCCAACGGCGTTAAATCACACGATCTAGGCGGCCAATTGACGGGCCCCAAACGTGAGATAAACTGTTCACCGAACTCGCCTCTCAATAGGGCCATTGTTTCGTGTGCGGTGTGGCATGTGGCACCGTCTTGTTGAAACCACATGTCAGCCAAGTCCAGCTCTTCCATTTTGGGCAAAAAAAGTTTGTTATCATCGCACGGTAGCGCTCGCCATTCACAGTTACGTTCCGGCCATTGTCGTCTTTGAAGAAGTACGGCCCGATGAGGCCACCGGCCCATAATCCACACCAAACAGTGATTTTTTCGGGATGCATTGGTAGCTCTTGCAATGCTTCTGGCTGGTCTTCACTCCAGATGCGGCAATTTTGCTTGTTAACGTACCCGTTCAACCAGAAATGAGCTTCGTCGCTAAACACAATTTTTCGATAAAAATGTGGATCTTCCTCCAACTTTGCCAGCGCCCATTCACCAAATTGGAAACGTTGTGGGAGGTCGTGTGGCTTCAATTCTTGCACCAGCTGTATCTTACAAGGTTTTACACCCAAATCCTGTCGCAAAATTTTCCACGTAGTGGAGTAACAGAGGCCCAATTGCTGCGAACGGCGGCGAATCGATATTTCACGGTCATCACTAACACTGGCGGATACAGGCGCAATATTTTCTTCAGTCCCCACTCTACGTTTGCGTGTTGGTGGTTTAATGTCCAATAATGTAAACTGGGTTCGAAATTTAGTCACAAGCTTCCGAATAGCTCGCTCAGTAGGCCGACCAAATTGCCCATAAATTGGAAGCAATGCTCGATGCTCTCTCTTAACCGAGCATGAATTTTGATAGTAAAATTCAATAATTTGCAAGCGTTGTTGGTTCGTAAGTCGATTCATGGTTAAATTATAGACCAAACTGAACAAGTTTGACAATGACACAAGACACGATTCACGCGTCATCTGTCAAAAACAGTGTTACCAAAAAGATACTAGCAAAAAAATCACCCATTATATCCCCATTTTTAAACTTCATCAACCTATAACATCCGTCGCGTTCCCAGGTTTACAGCAAAGGGGCACGAGTCCCGTAAGCAGCGTCTCCAGCGGCGCGGGTACCTCCGTAGGCGTCCGGCCCCAACCGATGGTCGTCGCGAACGGGCCCGCCGCCCAACAGCAACTCACGCAGCAGATGCAGGCGCTGCGGAACGGAGGCGGCAGCGGCGTGAACGGAGGCGGCGCAGGCGGAGGAGTCACGTCGGGCGTGGGACAGGAACCGCCTCCGCCGTATCCGGTGGGCGTGGCTACGACGACGCAGACGGGCGTTGCCGGTCAACCGACGCCGCCTCCTCCGCCGTCGTACAGGGACGCGATACAGAACAGGCAGAGCCCCACGCAGGATTTCAGGAAGAGTCCGTCGTCTGGTGAGTGAGATTGTATGGATATATTTGTCGACAAATATACGAAGTCTGTAAAATAAGTAATGAGATAAATATAATTACGTTACATAAGTATATTGTAGCCCTCAAAATAACTTCCTTCTGAAACCGCACAGTGATCGAGACGGTTCTTCTACTCCTCATAGCAATAGCAGTGCTGCATATTGGAATAGCCAGTCAGATGTTAGTTTTGAAGACTCATCGATATCACAAACAAATATATTTCACTTGTTCCAGGCATCTACTCCGGTTCAACATCTGCCGGTTCGCCCAGTCCGGTGACAGTGTCCTCCTCCTGCAGCAGCAGCGCCATGGCCCGACCCGCCCCCCTGCAAGCGTGGGGCGCCCGACAAACTGTCTCGCAGCCCCCGATCATTATGCAGTCGGTGAAGAGCACCCAGGTGCAGAAGCCGGTGCTGCAGACTGCCGTCGCCCCCGCGGCGCCTCAACAGCAGGCTCAGCCCCAGCAAGCGACTGTTGTGAATGGGGGCGCGGTCGTTGCAGTCGCCACGGAAGGTGGTCCGGGTGGGCAGCAGCCGCCGCCGCCTAGTTATACCGCTTCAATGCAGCAGAAAGGGTAAGCGAGGATTTTGTTTTTTAATATTTATAGGATGTTTTTTATTTATTTATTTGTGGTTTCTTTGTTTTTATTTGTTTCAGATTGATTTAGTATTAATGCTACAATGTCCATAATATCCATATTACACAGTACATATATCACAAAATATATTATGTCTTCAAGACTACATATTTGTATACAAAATTTCACTATTATGAATTCTGGTTTTCCATGAGATATTTTTTCAATTTCCCTTTGAACATTTTCAAACTGACACACATCTTGATATCATTACTTAATTTATTAAATTCGTACAATCCCTTTTGAAATACTGACTTGCTCGTTATATTGCTACTGCAGTTTTGTAAATAAAAGTCTATACTTCCTCTAGTAGAATAATTGTGGCACTCATTGTTCAATACAATAAAATTTTCTAAGTGATTTGGTAGAAGATGATTTTTTTAACTTGAATATGAAATTGAAAACCAAGTAGGCTATGATATTTTTGATATTTAATCATTGTACTTCTTTCAGCATAAAATTTAATCTGGTATATTTATTTTTATTTAGTCGAACAATATAACAAATGAGGAAGAATGATAGTGTTGTACACAATTTTAGAAGAACAATGTTAATGTAAACTTTTTTTCATCCATATTTCGCCTCATTCTTCTACTACCATTTGAATTGCTGTTTCAGTAGAATACTTTTGTCTGAATCCTGCTTGACAGTTTGTCAATATCGTATTTTCTTCAATATATTCAATAACTTGTTCATATTGATTCCTTCTAAGAGCTTCTCGACATCTGGCAGTACATTAATTGGCCGCATGTTTGTATACAACTCAGAATTTTGCACTTTTGGACTAGGAGTAATTGTAGAACATTTTAATTTTGAAGGAAATTCGCCATACGCCAAACAGTGATTCACTAACATTAATAACTTCTCTCCAATAATGTTGAAACATTCCTTCATAACCATTTTTGAAAGATGTTCACTAGGATTTCTATTCGATTTCAATCTTGTAATAGCTTTTGAAAGATGGCTGATATTTATTGTTTGGAATTGTCTCATATAAGAATTATAAGTAGCTTGCATGTGAGATAGATTTTGATCCCCATCTTCGATTGATTCCACTATCTCATTTATACTTTCTATAAAATAAGCGTTCATTCGTTCTGCAATCAATATTTTTTGTGTTACTATACCATCTTCGAAGCACATTCTTGATAGTTCATTCTTCCTACTGGGAGATACAATATTTTTTAGTGTCTTCCACATCATTTTACTGTTATTTTTATTGCTATCGATTTTGTTTTCATAATAGTTTTTCTTTCCATTTCTAACATTTGTTAAACACTTGTTTCTTGATTTCTTATATTGTATCGAATCTGCCTCAGTTTGAGTGATCATAAACTTTTTCTAGTCATTATCACGCGTCAATTTAGAGTCTAGAAATATTTGTGAAAACCAGAGTGTTGGCTTTGATATACCACTTTAATAATTTGTGCGTCTCTCATGCAGTTGTCCATACAATCCATAATTTTTGAGAAGTGTCAGTGATATTGGCTTGTAAGAGTGACTCTCGTAACGTTTTAAAGTCAATAATTGTGATTTATCTTGACTCTCTCTCATTAAACATATTTTCCACCTCGAAACATATCCACGAATGGTCGCTTATTTTTGGAGTATGTAAAACCTTAATACTCAAATTCTGTTCATTGGTTATTATTAAACCGATCTTAGTTCGTCAAAAGTTTGTAATCCTTGGGTAGTCATTAACTTTTTGCCATAGACCATGAAAGTTCTGTACCTGTTTAAATTTTTCTACATAAAAATCTTGATTATCAAAATTTATATTGAAGTCTTCCAAGTGCACAGTCTAGCAATTTCGATAACACTGTTTTTCACAAACACTCTCAAAAAAGTCCAAAAATCGGCTAATATTACAGCTTGGAGATCTGTAGTAAACGAGTACATTGTAATTTTGTTTCTCATTACTTAAAAATAATTACGTTTATGTGACAGATAACAATAGGCTTATATAAATTATTAAACTAAAGATTGATGTGATACCTAACCTACTTATACTTGACAAACTAAAGTTAAATAGAAACATTTTCATGTGGTTTTTGATGTGCCTGATATTGCTACTGAAAATCTCTACGTTGTAGCAGCGCCACCTTCAACTAACGAGCCATGAAGAGAAAAAGGCAACACCGCATCATGGCATTTTGGGGTCCGGCCGTCCAGCTGGTGTGTGCCGTTATTAAGGCGCGTTTTCACGGGTCTATCTGAGTCGAACAATTTGTGTCGAACATTGAATCGAAAGCAAAGTGGTGTCGTTTTTATTTTTGGTCAACATACATCGCCTATCGTGTAAACCTTTTTGCTTTCAACTCAGATCGAACCATGGTCGAATAACCCAGGTGGTTCAACTTAGATCGACCCGTGAAAACGCGCTTTTACAGAAACTTCGATTCGAGCATTTTTTGAAGGTGGCGCTGGTTGTAGCTAACAGCGGCGTTGCCAGATCTAAGAATTTTGCTTACTGGTTCATTCTTACTATAATTGGTAGAATGATATGGACTCTTTAACAGTTCTGTATTGCGTGTTCGTATTTCATTGCCACTAAAATTTATTTGTGCAAGCACCTCTGGGCAATCTATGTCACTATTAACTAGTTTAAACTGAAAACATAAATCAATAATTTCCCTGTGGTGTTTCAAGGAGTCTATGTTCAGCTGTTTTAAAAATTTACCTTGCACTGCTTCAATGGATTTATGGCAGTATCGTCAGTCGTTCCTACAATTGTAGGACGCCTTGATTTTCATAGTTTTCTACTTTTCCGTGTCAGCGCTCTATTTTGAGGATATGTCACAAATATCTATTTGTCCATGCTTTTGATTTATATCATATTTTATCAGCCTGAAATTTCCTACGATTCAAAAAGAAAACAGAACTTCACAATATGAGAACGCTGACACGGAACAGGTGCAAAAAAGAAATGAGAGAAAAGACTATGATAATCAATGAGGTCATAAAGGCGTCTTACAATTGTAGGAATGACTGACGGTACGGCCCCAATAACGAACTTTTTTTTCTTTTTATGAAGTACCCTCCCAGCCAGTCGCCCCTTACATGTCCCTAATTTCGTTTTCAGCTACACGACAGTGGTACCAAAACCGGCCGCCCCACTCCCAACAGGCAGCCCTGCCGGTGCAGGCGCGGGCGTGGTGAACGTCCCGACAACGGAACCGCCATCGTACGCCTCCACGATGCAAGCGAAAGCTGCCAAAGCGCAACAACAGCGGGCGCCACCGCCGCCTCCGTACACGCCCACGCCCGCCTCTGTCGCGATAGGAGTGGGAGATGACCCGACGGCAACACAACATATATGCCCGATAGATGGTCATCAGATGCAGCCTTCGCCAAGGTGAGTAATGCCTAAACCAAATCCAAGATATAGAATAAAACACTACTTTAGGACGTTATTATTGATATATTCTTCGGTTCCGCACTTATTTTAATTTTGTTTATTATCACAGCCTTTGTTTACTTAATATTTTTAGTCATATAGGTATATGTGATTCTGTGTTTATATAACGATCCTTATATATGTACAGGGTCCGTCAGAAAGAACGCATGTTTTTCGAATGTGTACTACATCGAGTGGGCTGGACCCGTGTCGGTGGGGAAGGGCATCAATAAAAAAAATTGTCGATATTCATTCTAAAAAAAAACTATCGCGACTTTTTCTTGACATACTAAACGTAAAGTTGAAATTTGTACAAGGCTATTTTTATTATTCCTTTCTATATTAGGTCGAGTCCGCATATCCATCCACACCCGCCTTTACAACGAAAATACTCACCTGCTGTGACCGATATGAGATCGGACAGTCCCCAATCAACTAGTTCGGGAGAAGGAAGATTATGTGGACTGGATGGCAACGTCGGAGTTGCACCACCCCTACCACCTACAGGTTAGTATAGTTCTCTTCATCGATTTTTGTGGTACACTTTTATTACTACAATGTCACACAACCTTTTGTTGTTCTTTGATATTACCAATGTCTGGAAATACAATTAAAGAACGTTGGTGTTAGATTTATCTATTATTGCTTTTCATTTCATAAAAAATGCATTTATGTGACAGATTGTAATAGCTTTAAATGAATTATTAAACTAAGGAAGAATAAAGATTTATGTGATATCCAACCTACTTATATTTGAAACCCAACAAAATTAAAGTTGATTGGAAAGATTTTCATTCCATATCTTATAACGTCGACGATGCATATAACGATTTTTTTACAGCGTCATCTTCCGTGAAAAACCACCACGTGTGCTGTAACGGTAACGGAATAGGCGGTGCAGACAGCGGAGGCGGTAAAAACGGTAGTGGAGGCGGGGGAGACACGCCCCCTCCGCAAGTACCGCCCCACATGAAGATCAAGCACCAATCGCCGATACCTGAACGGAAGAAGATCAGTAAGGAAAAAGAAGAAGAAAGGCGGGATTGTAAAGTGAAGAATTACTCGCCCCAGGCGTTCAAGTTCTTCATGGAACAGCATATAGAGAACGTTATCAAATCGTATAGGTATGACAGTTGATAAATGTTATACTTAAACATTAAAAAAGTGTTCTGGGTCATCAATATTCCGCCGTTGTGCCGCTGGGATCCCGTAAAGATTTCGACAGTTGGTAGCACAGTACTTAATGGCATGATATATATTTTTATTATGAGTGACCTTCATTTTTTATATTATGAATAGAATCCAATTAATGTGCCTGCTTTTAGTATGATTCATAAAATGTAGGTCAAATTTCGCTTTAGGATAGTATTTTGACATTACGATAAGTGATATCACGCGGTGAAAAAAAAAATCAATTCAAGCTACAATGTTCTCTACTCCAATGCGACTACTTGGCTGTCACTCGGCTCCTGAGTAATGATGACTCTGAACAACTTCATAATTGCACACTATAACTATAGTCTGGTATTAAGGTTTAATTGCGCAAAACCATGAATTCATTATTGCATTGTATTTTTTCTTTCAGGCAAAGGTTATTTAGGCGTATGCAGTTAGAAAAAGAAATGAACAAATAGGTCTTGGACCTGAGGCTCAGATGCAGATGAGGAAGATGCTATCACAGAAAGAATCGAATTACATTAGGTTAAAAAGGGCTAAAATGGATAAGAGTATGTTTGTTAGGATTAAACCAATTGGTAAGTCTCTTTCTATTTATATATTTGTCATTTTATTTAATGCCGACTAAGTTATAGTCAAGAATATTTGGTATTCAATTTTCTTTTAACCAAGTTAGTTTCGTCCAACAACTTGCAGACTCTGCGTCACTTTGATACTGGAACGAAAACAATCGTATTATTGCTATGTAGATTAATAATTGCTTCTATACTACAACTATTTAAAACTGTAATGACTCATACGCGTGATCAACACGTGATCAGAGCTCGATCCCGGCTTCCTTCCAGTACAGCCGTATAGCGTACGACATATGTCGTTTCTGTGGCTTTGCGGTGGTCAACAGCACAGACAGAGATGGAAATAATGGCTGATTGTTCTCCGCCGGTAGAACCAATGAAATCAAAGACTCGCCTCGACCGGCAGACTCATAGACGTCGGCAACGCATTGGAACGTGTTTCGTTGAGCGATCGCATATTGTGTGTTTTTATAAGAATTGTTGTTGTGATTGTTATTGTTGTGGTTTCTGTGGTTACTGTTTTGGTTATACTTAACCATGGAGAGTACAAATGGCACGAGTGGAAGTACTGAAAGCCAGGAAACAAGTAGACGGCTTCGTAAAGCACTGAAGAGGGACGCGAAAGAAATCGTGCTCAACGTGTTCAATTATCTGAACAGAACTATGTCGCAGGGAGATGCACTCGCGCGTTGTGAAAGTATGACAGGCGTTCCAGAGTGGACCATTCGCAGGGTGGTGCATGAAAAGAAGAAAACTGGAGCTACTGCTGATCCAAAGTTTAATTTGAAGGGACGAAAGGCCATTAAATTGGATGACGATAGCAAAATGGCGTTAAGGCGAACCGTACATTCATTCTTCTTTAGGAATGAGATACCAACCCTTAAGGCTGTACATGCAGCGATCAAGGAAAATGAAATTATACCCCAAATGAGCGTCGAGGTAATGAGGAAATCCCTGCACGAAATTAATTTTCGTTACGAAACGCGTAATCGGAAGTCAGTATTGATAGAGAGACCTGAAATAGTCGCCTGGCGTCGAAAATACCTACGCGAAATGATTGAATATAGGCGACAAAGCAGAAAAATCTATTATTTGGACGAGACATGGGTAAATGCAGGTCACACAGTTAAAAACCTGGATAGACAAAACGTAGTGAGTAACTGACAAGCAAGCATTGAAGGTTTGTCAACAGGTCTTCGTGGACCGTCAGGGAAAGGTCAAGATTGATCGTAACTCATATTGGTAGCGATAGTGGCTTTTTAGAAGAGTGTGACTTGATTTTCGTCTCTAAGAAAGGAGGTGATTACCATGACGAAATGAATGCCAGCTGCTTCGAGAGCTGGTTTCAAGGGGTGCTTCAGCGAGTTGAGCCCAACTCTGTGATCGTCATGGATAATGCTTCCTACCATAGTCGTCGAGCCGAACGTGTACCGACTATGGGATCTCGAAAAAGTGACATGCAGCAATGGTTGCGCGAAAAAGGAATCCCGTTTGACGATTCATGTGTGAAAGCGAAATTGTAATGAAAAAATTAAACAGCACAAACCTGCGAACATTAGTTACTTGACTGATGAGATGGCCCGTCAATGTGGTGTCACTGTGCTGCGGTTACCGCCCTACCACTGTGAACTGAACCCAATAGAGCTCATCTGGGCTCAAGTGAAGGGTTATATTGCGCGCCATAACACAACCTTCAAATTACCAGACTTAAGGTTTTACTTGAGACTTCCATACAGCTAGTAACGCCCGAAGCTTGGCAGAATGCTATCCGTCATGTTGTGAAGGAAGAAACAAAAATGTGGCAGCTTGACCACCACATCGACACCATCATAGAGCCAGTTATAGTCAATTTCAACGAGGAAAGCGATAGCGACAGTTTATTACTGTCAGATGTAAGTGGAAGCGACGATGAATAAAGGTAATTCCCAAATTTTTGACTTACAATATGTTTCAAACCACTCTTTATTAAGCATGTGACAAATCTAGTTCACCCATGTTAAACATTCATACCCCGCCTATGAACAGCCGACTACTGGTAGTTAAGTGATGTTCACGTGAACATCGATGAGTCATTACAGTTTTACATAGTTATAGTATAGCTGTCAACATTTTTCGCATTTGGTGTTTGGGTGGTTATTTAGCTTTAAGCTACAATATTACATTAACGTGAACATACAAAGCAGATATCACTTGTATCCAAAATATAAAGTCCTTAGTTTCCTCTTGAATATTGTTAATTTTGCGATATTTTTATCTCTAGTGGAAAAACATTATAACCTCTTAAGCCTCTATCAAAAAAATTCTAACTTCTTGGTTTTGTAACTTTCAATGTAATAATTGTCTTGATTTATGTCATTTGATAGCATACCAGATCTTTTTAACATAAATTTGCTAAAATAAGTTGGTGTTTTATTGTTTATTATTTTCTGATAAAATAAAGATTGTCTAGTCTGATTTCCTACATTTCAAATTTAAATTTGGTCTCATGACTGCGATTGGCGTGTATGAATGATGTCCTACAATTTTGGTCTATAATTCTACATATTTAATTTTGTTTCCAAATGTTATGGTCTCATCATTAATTTTTATCGATATGTTCTGTAATTTTGGATATCATTTACGTAAATAATGAAAAGTAGCGGCCCTAGAACACTGCCCTGAGGCAC